TGTGCCATGAAATTGTAAAAGCTTTGCGGCCGTTGCTGTCATCCTGAGCTCTCGTCGCCTGCCCGTCGTCGTCGTCCTGTCTGACCAACCGTTTGTCCTTCAGCGCAATCACGCACTTGCTGTCTGAACTCTAAAAAGCACGCATGCCTACATATGTACATACATATATAGCCTATATAGATAGTTTAGATATGAACTAAGTAGTTGGAAGGTAGGACACGAGTATAACATTAAAGTTTTGTCAGCCCGACTTTTGAATACTCTGTGTCCATCATTTTCCGCACTACAGACATTGAACTAAAATAAATATTTCCTTACCAATAATTTCTGATCAAACTGCTGATAAATCTTGATAAAAATTTAGATTATAAATAATCACCATGGCAGCTATATGATATCCGAAATTTAAGAATGATGAGGACTAGTGATGTTTGCCAATATGATATATCAAGTTTGGTATCCCTAGCTATTATGACTCAAACATTCCCGGTATTCACATGGACATGGTCGACTATATACATTCAAGTATACCCTTTCACGGGTACAGGGTATAAAAGGTAACATTTTTTCTCTACTCGTGTTCCCATTAAATCTGTTTTTTGTGGGTGAGCACCGCAAATTGAACAGAGATATATATCAGCACCTACACGTATACATATGTATGTATACATATAGTTCGTGGTCGTCTATAATTAGAGTGTTTGTAACGAGCACTGCGGCTAATTGCACGCCATGAACTTGGCCAATTGGTGGGACTACAAGTAGATTGAAACTTACTTACCACGACAGTGCAATAACGAGCTACTCGGGCTCTGGTGTATGTTCATGCGAACAAATTAGTATGAAATTGGTTGTATGTATATTACACGCATCTATAATACATATATATACTTTTTTAATTGCATTCATTAGTCAGGCGAATAGTCAATGTGTTTCGAAAAAAGCTTCTAGCTCTGGGAATTGCCATAAATTAGCACTTCAATTGTGCATTCTTTCACCTTATTTTTGCATTTTTAGGGGGGGAAACGGGAAGAAAAGTGTGAAAAGTATGGAATATACTACTTTGACAGTCGAATATGACACCTAACTCATAATTTAAGCGTAATATTTATTTAGTAATCGAAAGCAGTTGATTATTTAAAGCTGGACTATACCGAAAAATAATAATTATTTTTATTCAAAAAAGTTTATTTTTGAATATATGTTGCAACCGAAACTCAAATACTTGTATATAAACTAACTTACAAAGTTTTCTGTCAATAGTCAATAGACTTATTTTCAAGTCCAAAAATTTTCACGATACAGCGAGCATTTTGTATTCACTGCTTGAATCTTAAAATGCAATTGAGTGTGACTTTCACTTTCAGGTTCGGTCTTAAGTAATAAAGGTTCGGTCTTAAGTAATAATATGTGGCAGTCAAATTCAAATTCAAAACATGCCGCAAAGCACTACAAAGCTACCCCTGAAGTGAATGTGATAAGCCCATCAGTTTAATATGCACACAAGTATACATACATAATTTTATATGATTGTAAAGTTTATAAAAAAAAAATTAAATAAAATAAACTCGAGCTGCCTAAGAACTAGGTGAGTCTACATACAAACTTTTAACAATGTGAGTTCAACAATAACCGAAATCCAGGCGTTCATCCAAACAGACGGACATGTGTAGATCCATCCCATCCCGTCCTATCATGCTGTGTTACTTACTTTGCATACAAATATAATTTATCGTTTTATACGGAGTTCCTTGTTGGGTGACTGAGCACAATTGCCCAACCATCGCAACCAAATCGAGTGTAGGGTATTGAAATAGTTTATCACTAAATGCCTGCCGACAAGCACACATCTACGAGCTTATTTTTGCTGCTCATGTACTGCCGGCATTATCACTTGAGAAACCGCGGCAGTTTAAACTATGGATGTACAATCGAATGTAAATATCGATGTCGCTGTACATCGATGCACCTAATATAAGAAGTTGCTGTAGTACCGATGTACCGACATAAAATATATCGACTGTTTTCCAATGTTTTGGAAATGCACTTTGTAGCTCTTAAATAACATATGTATAATATGGAAAGTGGATTCAACCCAATTTTCATTGTGGATACGAACGGACCTAATCTGAAAAAGATCAGTCGATAATCAATCGATATAGCTATTTCCGTGCGTCTGTAAGAACAGAAGCAACTCGGACAGTTTAAGAGCTAGAAGAACCAAAATTGGTATGCAGCTTCTCCTTGGTCTGCTATATCACTTGGGTTCCGAAACATATCTTTTGTGATACGTATGCTGCATTCTATTATTTAATAGATATGTTTTTAATGGAATACACTACCATATTGTAAATTTAAAAAAAAAACTTAACCCAAAGCAATAAATGCACCGTGGTAAACAATCATCGATGGCCGATGTATATAGATGTTTTCTTCCATCCCTAGCAAAAACAGTCATATCGTACACCCACATCCACACTCGTATGTGGCTGCTGCTGCACTTGTCGTTGATGGATTTGCTTTTCTTAATTTATTGACACAAAACGTGACAAAATGTGCGCATTAAAAAAGCTAGAGGAAAGAATCAGCTTCAGCCGCTTCAGCAACTGCAACTGCAAATCGTTGCACATGCATATAGGATTATAGTATATATTTATGTGTTAGTTTATTTGCGAAATGCATGAGTAGTTCTCATGCCATACTCACGAGTGCATTCACTTTTCGCGACTGACGCAAACAAACTGCCAATTGACGTTTAAATTTAAAGTTTGTCATTAATATTACTCATCATCTATCTCTGCCCATCCTTTACCATATAATAATTTATGCTTCAAATGTGAGTGAATGAATAATGAGTTGTGGGTGGTGGGCTGGCGGGCTGGTGGGGTTATTCCATCGTTCAATTGGTGTAGGCAGCCAGCTGAGCCCAACAGTCGCCCCAGAGTCGTCGCATAATGAGACTTCATTCAATTGGCAGCCCTCCATCACCACCACCACCACCACCAACGGGCTGCTGGTGCAGGCCTTTGTTCATGACCGATTCACAATATTGGAGCCCCCCAGACTATCCTGTTGGAGCTGAAAATGGAAATGGTCTTTCTACTGCCAATCAGTTGGAGGCATAGACAAAGGCATGTGCTGCTGCTGCTGCTGTTGCTGTCCATCAAAATGATTTCATTATGTCAGCAGCATGTAAATGAAGTTAATATAGCAGTGTTATGTACACGAGTGTGTAAATACTGTACTGATATAGCCTTGACAACCTGAGTCGAGTCTCTCAGAAGCAGTCCACAAATGGACGCACAATGGCCGCAACTGATTTAGTTATTGAGACGTCATCCAATCAGCTAAGACTAATGTGGTGGAATGGGTGTGCGACTGACACATAAAATCAAAACCAGTTACGAGTATCTCTCACAAATTAGTGAAGCGTAATGCCATCAATCAGATGTCAAATGTCAACTTATTCTTCTACTGCTATATATATAACTCCTATTGGTTATGGGTTTATAGTTCAATGATTACCATTTCAACACATATGGGTACACAGACTATGAAAACAAATTGTTATAATATTTATATAGTGCATACGGCAAAGACGTCCAATATTTCCGGAAAACGTTTGTCCATGGGCATGGGTTTTTGGAAAAGTACAAAACTGATAGACGTGACAAAACAGAAAATAGTAGACCCATTTTACAATGTATAGATGCATTAAATAAGCTTAGAAGAAGAGTCATACAAGGTGCGTTCCAAAGTAAACAGTACTTTCTGAAACTAGCGCCCCCTGGTGGCGCTATCTATATGTGGACTGGTTTGTTAGAATCTGCAATCTTTATCGATTGTCCAGTGAGAATTTCATGATATTTCATCGATTGGAAGTGAAGTTATTGCGTTTTAAGTGTCAGCATGTTTGTGTTATCGGTGCGAAAATGAGCTTCGGACAAAGAGCCATTAAATTTTGGTTTTAAAATTGGTAAAACTTTTACCGAAACGTTTCAATTGATGGAACAAGTTTATGGCGATGATGGTGGTCGTGAGGACATAAATGACGATCAACATGTGAGCCAATCAAAATTCATGCTCACCGAAAATTCCATCGAAACTGTGCGTGAATTCATCAAAAATCAGCCGAAATCATCATTGAAATTGATGGAATTGGAATTGAACATCTCCAAAACATCGATTTATCGCATTTTGACCGAACATTTGGGCTTACGAAAGGTGGGCTTGCACCGGCATACTGGCGGCCATACCGGCCAACGAGCTAAAACACTCGTTCGACATTCTTTTGGATCGTGCAAAAAGCTGTATTGAAGCAGAAGGAGACTATTTTGAATAACATAAATTGATTTTGCCGAAAAAACCATTTGTTCTGTTTTTTCTTAAAGTCCTGTTTACTTTGGAACACACCATGTACATTATACATAAATCAAGTCATAAGTTGGACAATAATTATATGGACCCTTAAAAAGTTTGAGAAATTTATGATAGGAATAATACACATTTCAGTAAATAAATTCTTCATTTTTTTGCCAACATTACATTAATGGCTATAATTGCAGTTAAGATATATTCTTATCTATGGATATAATGACAATACCAAACTCAAAAGGTGGCACTACTCTGGTCTATTTTTATCTCCTATTTGTTCCTAATGATAGGAATATTGAGTTAAGAACCATATTGCTATGTACTTTCGAACACTAGTTTCATCTTTACATTTACAAACAATTTTTTACATCATTTCATCAGTAATTTGTTCTTGCTCCATAAAAGCATTGGAAAGAATAGAGAGGACCACTAAGCATTTGTCAGTTTGGTGTCTGATTAAAATATCGCGAGATATTGATGTGTTGTTCACGATCTTCAAGAAATCATTGAAAATCAAAAGACTATCAAACTTTTTACAGAAACTCGAAGAAGTTGTGCCCGACTTTTTAACATGAAATATTTAATTTTGCAATATTTTTAATAAAACATTTTCTATTGCATTACAGATTCGGTTCCGGCAGCAGCCAGGCCTCACAGAATAGTGGCGATATTTGTCGCATTTGCCACTGCGAGAGCGATCCACAGAATCCGCTACTGACGCCCTGTTACTGTTCCGGTAGCTTGAAGTACGTGCACCAACAATGCCTCCAGCAATGGCTAACTGCCTCCGAAACCAATTCCTGCGAACTATGCAAGTTCCCCTTCATAATGCACTCCAAGATCAAGCCCTTCAATGAGGTAGGTAAGCGGTCAGCGACCGTCCACCAAACGTCAATGTGACGACCCCATTTAATTATTATTTCTCGTAATCTACAAATTTTTCCATTGTTTGGCTTCCTATTCTTCTTCTTCTTCGTCGTCTTCTTGTTCGTCACCAGTGGCAAAGCCTTGACATCTCCGGCATTGAGCGTCGTCGTCTGTGCTGTTCGGTTCTGTTCCATTGCGCGGCCGCCTTGTGTGTAATCTGGTCGCTATGCGTGCTTATCGAACGGGCCGCCGACGACGTGCAGCGTGGATTTATAGGTGAGTGTATAAGCAATGTGGGACTAATAATGTTCTACATCCATTAATTCATACTCTCTCCCACAGATTGGCCCTTTTGGACTAAGCTGGCTGTTGTCACAGTGGGCCTCACCGGTGGCATAGTCTTCATGTACATACAGTGTAAGGCGTATTTGCATTTGTGTCGTCGCTGGAAGGCACGCAACCGGTAAGCATAATAATAGATACATACAAGTATACAAGTATATAGTAATAAACAAGATAAAACGCTACAGTCGAGCAAGCCCGACAGTAAAATAGCCTGTACTCTCCACAAAAAGGAAAAATTAAAAAAAAAAAAAATTAAAAAAAAATTAAATTATTAAAAAAAATGAATGAATTAATTAATTAAAATAATTAATTTAATTAAATTAGAATACATGTTTATGTTCAGTTTAAACAGCATACATTTACACCACGTACCTATGCGTGTTCATATGCGTGTATGTATGCAGCACAAAGTTGAACAAAAGCAGCAACAACAACAACAGCTGCGGGCAGCGCTGCCGACAGAGCTGCAGGCAGCGCATGAGCAGCGATTTTACTTATGGCTATAACTTTCTTCAGAATTGACCTTTCACCCTTTGGGTACAGGCTATAAAAATAACTCTTGCTAATTTGTTGCTATTCTGACAGCATCCTGCTCATACAGAACGCACCGGAGAAAATACATCCCCCACCATCACCGGTGGCCACGCACCACGGACGCTTCAGCGAGCCGCACTGCTCCGTGGCCCATGCCGGCGTCAGTGGAACTGTGGAAATTAACGCTGGCGCTCCGGTTGCTGCTGATGGCAACGCGTACAGCAATGCGGGCGTAGGTCACGCCAGTTGTGGAGCCATGGAGGCAGGACTGGAGAATGGCTCAACCACAGGACTGCCACAGCATCACCAGCGCCTGCTAAATGCCTCACCACACCACATGTTGCAGCATGCTGCCGAACTGGATGTGCCACACAGCAGCGCCGGTACACAGACAGATGATGCCTGCCCGCATGTGCAACAGCAGCAGCATCAACTGGGCCAGGTGGCCGTTGCCGCTAATATTGAGTGCTCACAGTCGCAGCACAACTACGATCGGGATTGGGCCCTCGATGATGTGGTATCACAGATCTCCTCATTTCGTCCTTGCCCGCAGGGTTCGGGCAGCATGACCCCTTTCCATGACTCCATTCACAATGTGCTGGAGCATTCGGAGAGCTCGAGTCGGGGCTCAGCCACAGATATGTGTGTGGGCTCGCGACAGGATCTCAGCGCCAGTGGCATCTCCACCGATACGGGTCGCGAGCATGCTCTACAATTGAGCAGCTTTAGTGGTAAGCTCTTTATTATTTTCACTTTAATACTCGTTCCTTTGATTTAAAATGTTTATATCTAGAATTATGTTTAAAATTCATTTTCAAATGTGTCCAATATAAAAATCGCTTTTTGGAGGAGATATCTTTCTTTCTTTCAAAAATAGGAGATAATTCGAATACTATTTTAAATATTTCTAATATCAAAATTCCATTTTTTGGGGGGGTTTCTTTCAAAGCCGGGGTTTTTACAATTACTTTTCAAATATCTGTAATATCAAAATTCTTTTATTCTTTTGTGTTTCCTAAATGTAGTCATTTAAAATCTATATTATGCGCCTTTACAATAATTGAAATAATCGGAATATTTGTATTTTCAAATATCAAAAATCTTCGAATATTTTCAAATGAAATTATTTTCCAAAACATATTTAAAATGAACCTTCTGCTATAACTTATATATTCCAACTTGACATTTCGAATAACTACTTCATTTTGTCGCCCCACAGGCAGTGGTGAACACAAGGCACCCTCCATAAGCTCCGGAGTGTCGCATGCAGTGGCCAATGGATTGGGCGGGTTTGCCTACAAACCGCATCAGTCGAAGCGATATTCGAACTCGTCAATCTTTCTGGAGAATCGTGATATACTCAATGACTCGCCCGTCACACTGGGCCCAGAGGTGCAGCCGCACACTTATGACTACAGCACACCGCCAAAGATAGACTACCGGCACTCAAGCATACTGGCCACCACCCAGACGCACAACTGCTGTGACAACTACTATCACTTGGGCAAGGATTTGCGTCGCTACTCGGACACCAAACTGCTGGGCAGTGTCGGCGCTGAATTGCCCGACGGAGGACAAGGCATGGAGCATGAGGCGATGCTGTGCAAACATGCTGCGGAAACAGATACAGTGCTAGACATGGAGCTGCCCACATCCCCATTATCGCCGCCGGCTGCATATGCCACAAGCAATCAACAGCAGCAGCAACAACAACAGGCATCGCATACATTGCGTCGTTCCTGCGATACAGTCGATGTGTTTGGCGCCACTGTGGATGATGCACCGGCACCGGTGGGTGCTGGGTATACCAGCCATGCTGGCCAGTTGGCGGATGCACAAATCGATCGATCGCGTTTGTTCTTCAAGTCGTTGCCAAATCTGAGCAGCAGCTGCGAAAGTCTGATCAAGAAGTGATTGCTTGTCCAGACGCTGCTCCTCCACCATTATGTCTAACCAATATGTGTGCTTTCTATTCTGATTCCCCCCGCCCCACCTCCAGTTCTGTTTCATTATAGTTTCGACAGCCATCATTTTTGTACAGCAATATAACCAGCACTGCAATCAGAGTCCTGGGCTTGGCTCGCAATTCTTCTGCCCAAAGCCTGAACGAAAGTCCTATATATTATGTACATACATATATCTGTATTTAATTTTTCCATCATATCCATATTATTAGAGCAAAAAACAAAACTAAACAAAACAAAAAAACAACAACCCCCATTAACAATTTGAGACTGCAAAATGTACGTTAAATGCAACTGACTCTAAAAACTAAAAAGAAACAAAAAAAATACAATATTTCAAACGAAAATAGAAAACAAAAACCATAGAGAAAAAAAAACGAAAAACTAAAAATTTCAAAATTGTACTATCAACTGATAATGACAAATTGATAATGCCAATGCATTGCATAGTTTTAGGAGCTGAACAAATTTATACATACACTTAAAAACAAAGAAGAAGAAACATACTAACTAATAACACAACAGCAATAAAACAGTTCGTATTTCATGCTCTCTACCGTGTAGCAATTTTTCAATAGTTTTTCACCGCAGAGAAAACTTTTGCTCGCTGCCTAAGCCAAAAACAAATAATAATATTATATAACAATAACAACAACAAATGTAACAATTACAATGCATAGTTTAAAATGTATTATTATTACGTATTTTGTTTCTTAACTTCTAAGTCAAATGAAATTTTAAAAATTGATCTGTGATTAAGCGTCATTGAATATAAGATGAAAAGCAGCAAATAACAAAAACAAATAAACAATTAATATAAAACAAATTTTTAAATAACTATTTAAATGCTTTTTCACGGATGAAGTGAAATTCCGCGGCTTTAGCAGCTCTCCCTCTCTCTTTTAAAGCGCTCTCTCCCACACTCTCGTATTTAGCGGCGAGTCGAGCTGAACATATGAGTACATCAATAGATACATAAATGCAAACTTATGAATGCTAAATGTTAAGAGCAACAACAACAAAATCGACAACTACATTTTTTATTATGTACTAAAAATAATAATAATAATTAATAAATATGTGCATACTAATTACAACTGTATTACTACCGCCCACGATTTTTTATTTTTTCACTTTGAGCACGAAGCAGAGTCGAAAAAAATCTGGCAAAATGGGTTTCGGTGATTATCCCCGAAAGGTGCCTCTACTATGGCAAGGCTGAGGCTTTGGAGAGTAAATTGCAAAATGCTTTCTTGTGGCAGAAAAATACACTTAAGTATTCTATACTGATCAGTTTTAGTTGAAATAGCTACGGTTTCATCAGATACTACTTACCCTCGACAGATTTGCCTGCAAATTATTTGCCAGTCTGGCCATAGCTTAAGCTATCGCCTCTTTCGAAGCGTACCTATGTATATTCTCTTTTAAATTTATGTATTACAACGAATTTATTGATGTTTTTGTTTTCAAAATCGCTGAAGAGAATAAAACGGCTGCGAATGCAAGTGTGGCACATACATATGTATGTGTATGTACATAGTACATACATATTTAAGTGTTTGTGAAAAATGTGGAAATAGTACGAAAATCTAAATTTATTTTGTATGAGAATTTAAATACCTAATAACTTAGATTTTTAAATGGGCCTATTTTTATAACACATTTCATATTCATACTTATAGCAGCTTAAGGAATGAAAACTTGTAATTTTGTATGAAAATCTTTACTATTTATATTCATATTAATGGTGAGCATGGTCCGTACATGTGTGACTGTGTGAGCTTTTCAAATTTTCAGCAGATATATCAAAAATGTCCATGTACATATTTATGGATAAGCATAATATTCCTTGATAAACGAGAGAGAACGCTACAGTCGAGCAAGCCCGACAGGGAAATAGCCTGTACTTATTCCCACAACAAAAATAAATATATTTTTTTTAATTTTAATTAAAATTAATTTTTAAAAATATTTTCAATACATATGTACATTTGTACATTTACATCCGAATCGCGTATATGCGTGTATGTATGTAGCACAAAGTTGAACCAAAGACACAACAACAGCTGCGGGCAGATATATGTATGGCTATAACTTTTGTAATAACTGACCTAGGATGTAGTTACCAAATTTGAGTTCGAGATTCCAAGAATTACGGGAGCCATGGAAAAACACGAATTGCGGGGAAGTGGGGGAGTGGATCGGAAAAAAAACTCAAACTTGTACTTTCTCGGACTTAGGAGAATCTGGATACCAAGTTTGGTTATTCTAAGTCTTATACTTACTGAGATCCTTGCGTTCATACAGACAGACGGACATATGTATGTCAATGTTCGAAAAAGGCGGCTAGCTTGAAATAACAAAAGCTATGATCGGACAGAACATACTTAACATATTTTAAGTATGGAAATGTAAACGCCTTTTTGTATGTTTGTTTTGATTTTGTTACAATCTGTTATCTTTGCGTTATGAGCTCACTATCTCTCTCTCTCTCTCTTTTAAAGATCAACGCTTTGCAGACAGAGCTTTGATGTGCAGACGAGCTCTTTAATGCTGCGACAGCCGCTGTCCATTTTAATTCTAGACACGCTCCAATAATGCATATGTTTTCATACATTCCTAAATTTCACATATTTACATGTGTATGTACATACGTGCATACATACATAGCTATCTATGCTTAAATGCATTTTTAATCGCCTTTCTATCAATAATATGAATCATTTCATAATTAAAATAGAAAACCGAGACATCAGCCTTCCCCCAAAAGCTAGCTAAATGTTTAAAAGTGAAAGACATAATTTCGATTTGAATTGAATTTTAATCGAAATTAACTCAATTAAATGCAAATTCTTCCCAGCTCAAGTGCTGGCGCTGATCTTTTTTTGTTACAATAGAAATATTTAATGTATACGTATGTATTGATTCTTATGCTATTCCACTTATTACAATATTTAAATTTCCATATTTGACTTCAAATTCTATTTAAAGTAGTGCCTTACAAACTAAAGTGCTGCGATGATCGAGAATCAAAGTGTGTTGATGAAAAGTGTAGGGAATACTAATGTGTGTGTATTCATGTTTGTGTTGTGAATAAGTATGAATGTGTGTGTTTGTGTTGTAAATAAGTATGAATGTGTTTGTGTATGTGCTTTTGGTCGACGAGGCAGTTTAAAACGCACAGCATCTTTTTAGTCTTCCCCTCTCCGAGCTGCGCTGCAGCAACTCCGAATCCTACGTGCGAACATTTTACTTGCCAGTCTCCATTTTCTCAGTAGCGCCATTCTCGTTTTTGCCATCGGCAGCAGCTGTGCCCTCTGGTGGCTTGACGCTCAAATGAGCAGGACCGGTTTGTTGAATCTGGATGACACGTTCCTTCTGGGTGAGCGCCTTGTTGGGGGGTGGCGGAGCCTTCAGCGTCAGCACGCCATCCGAAGAGACAGTGGAGACCACATCATTGGGATCGTAGTCCTTGGGCAAGGTGTATTTGCGCACAAAATGGCGCTGAATCATGCCATGACCATCCTCGCGCTCCTCATGCTTGCCCTCCACAACAATTGTCTTGTCCACGACCTTGACTGTTAATTCGTTTGGCTTGAATTGCGACACATCCATGCACACCTGAAAGCCATCTTTTCCTACGGCCGGGAGCAGCGAATTCTGACCCGATGATGCACCAGAGCGACGAGCCAAAACGTGTTGTGGCATTGCTGTGGCAAGATGGTGGCAACGATCGTATGGCAAAAAGCGGCGACGATTTCCGCCACCATGTTGGTGCATCAGGAGACGCGGACGATGGAAGAGATCCACTGGATGGACGCCAAAACCAAAGTCATGATCCAAATAGTTCTCCCAATCGCCCAAACTGCGATATTCATTATCCAGCTCGCGAGCCATATTCAATAACGGTAAAATAGACATTTTTTATTAATTATTTTTTGCTTTCTTTTCCTTCACAAAAATTTGCGATGTACGAGCGTTTCACACAAATGTTCAAATTCAACTGTGAACAGAAAGCCGGCGTCACGTCCTTTTATACCCATGCATCGCTCACACACACAAAAGCTTCTGGCGCTCTCGAATTATCTCGCTCTTTCTGCTCACACACTATCTGTGTGTGAATAAGAGTGCGTAACGTCGTTGTGTGAGTGAGAGAATTTTGTGTTTGTTCTCTTGCGCGCCAGCAAATAAACACCCGTAGAAAGTTCTCGCAAATTCTCAGTTTTTCTTTTCGCATGTGCATATGTATGTTCCTTATATGTACATATGTATGTATATACTTACATATGTATGTATATATACATTTACTTATTTAAAGAGGCATCGCTTCTGCATTTGCTTATCGCATATTTACAGCTGTTGTAAATGCAATTGTTTAAATTTTAGCTTCAGCGAGTTGCTGCATTCGAAAAGGAGTCTCGTCGGCGTTCTTGACAAGTGCATTGAACTCTGTATATGTATCTCAGTCGCTCCGCCGCAGCACTGGCGCATTTTAACACATTTCTCTCGGTGATGGTTTTCTTTTATGGCAAACATTTTCGCCGTTGCAATAAAAGGTGATGCACAAAAAGGGCATTAAACATCCATACATATGTACATATGTATGTATGTATGTGCCTGCATAAATACATACATACAAGTATGTATGCATTACAGTGGTTGTGCGGAATGTACATGTGCAAATACAATACATAAATAAGTATGTACAAAAGTATTATACATACATGTATGTATGTATATGTATATACATATGTATGTATATACATATGTATGTCATTATCGCCACCAATTGAAAAGCAACGTCTCATGGGAGAGGACATAAAACAGATATCGAATCTAACGAGTTTAAAATTAAGTTTCAAGACATTTACAGCAGCTGTGATGCGGTCTCTTAACACACACAATTTCGGTTTGTTTATGTATACCCTTCCCTGAAATGTCCAAGTATATTATTCTGCAAAAGTTTGTATCACGGACACTAGAACCGTTGAATGAACTTCACTGAATTTTCCTATTTGAAATTAGTTATGTTTTTAGCTACAAAATCCGTACTTTATTTTTAATAATATACATAGGCTAATTAATTTTTTTCTTGTCTCTAATCGCAGTCCAGAAAATTTGGTTTTTACAAGATGATTCATATTTATACACATATACATATGTATATGTACATATATCTATGAACATATGTATATAGACAACAAATAATTGCGATGAGTGAAAATGTAGTGAAGATGAGTAAAGAGTGTTGTTGGTCATATCGATTATTTGATATGCACAGGTTGCTAGTTTTCAGTCTTTAGTCCTTCCGTATCCCTCTTTCGAGCGGGATATATTTTTAGAAAAGCTGAATTAATGATCCCAGGCAGGATGGGACTATAAAATGGAATTTTTTTGATACTTTGGATTGCTTTCAAAACAACTTTGATCAGCGAATATGTTGCCCGAATACAGTAAGACGACGGAAGAAAAATTTATTTCTCACAAATAACCCCAAAAAAGATTCAAGTAATCTATTGTTTTTATATTTTATTATATATATTTTTTATTGTGAATAAAGCAAACGTAAATTAGAACGAATCAACGTAAACTAAGGATAATCAGTGCAATTTTTATACATAACTATATGTATTTATGTATGGTTCTACATATCTGATTTATAGGTTCATGAACGCTGCCTACACTAGTAGTACAATAAAACAGACAATAACTTTGATATATGTATGTATGTATATGAATGACTTATGGCATAGATGTAGTTTGATGGGAGTCTTTATTCGGCTTTGCCATTGCCTTGCTGCTCCACCTTCTCCTTCTCATTCTGCTTGACGTTGAGATGGGCCGGTCCCACTTGCTGGATTTGGATGACACGCTCGCTTCCCTTATCCTCGATGGCCGGCGGCTTGGGAACGCTGACAGTGAGGACGCCATCCGAAGATAGAGTAGATGCCACCTTGTCGGCTTCATAACCATCCGGTAGAGCATAGCGACGGACGAAATGGCGAGTGATAAAGCCATGATCGTCTTCACGCTCCTCATGCTTGCCCTCGACCACAATAGAGTTGTCCACCACCTTGACATTCAACTCGCTCGGCTTGAATTGGGCCACATCCATGCACACCTGGAAGCCATCTTTGCCGACCTTCGGAGTTGGTCCGTCAATATTACCAACTTGTTTCTCCAAACGTCGCAGTTGCTGCTCGATTGGGCCAAAGGAAAGAGCCAAATAGGGATTGCGTTGACGCTGGCAGTAATATGGAGGCTCATAGAATGGAGCCACCGACAGGCGGTTAAGGTCGTCGGCTAGGCTCAGCAATAGTGGTAGGCTTGCCATATTTTCACTTCTTGCTCTTACTTATGTAGGTAGAACTCTTCTCTTCTCTCACTCTCTTCTAACAAACCTCCAAATAGGATACTTTTTCTCAGTTGGCAATCCTTTTTTGTTTTGTTTGTATATCAAGCACTCTTTTTGGTATAGCCGGCGTTTTTTTTATTCGGCGAATCAACAAACTTTTCGATTGAAAAGTTTTATTTTCTTTTATGTCCGTTTGATGTAGCAGTTATTCTTTCTCAACTATATATTTTTTTGCTGGTACTTTCTCAATATATTAAATGCTTTCAGTTGTAACTTAGCAGTAAACTTTCTTATTCAGCACTTTTCGTTTGTTGTTTGCACTTGAACGTTGCGATTTGAACTGATGCCGAGTGCCAGAGCTCGTCGGCTATTTATACCTGAGAGGCCTAGCGGTGGTTGTCAAACATGCTGCTGTTGTACATGTGTATGTGTGCGTGCCGCTATCTATGTATGTATGTGTACGTCTGGCTGTTCAGGCGAAGTGAACATCCAGAAAAGTCGCGAAGTTTCAGTTGATATGTTATGTACTATGTGAGTATATACATGTGTGTATGTATGTATATACTTTTGCTTATGTAATTCGCAAGTTCATCTATATTTGACAATGTTCTGGAAATTGCTGATATTACTCAGCGGGTTCGCAATGAAAGTGAGAGTGATGTTGATGGTTTGGTTCTGCACTTACATACATACATACATACAAGCATATGTGTTTGTTTATATTTTTGTTTGTGGGCGATTAAAAGCGCTTATCTACAAAATAAACAAAATGCAAAGCTATTGGTATTAAAGAAATTTTATATTTACTTATTGTACATTATGTAAATTAAACGTTAAACATAACGTTGATTTTTCTCGCATATTCTGGACTGCCACCAAAAGGTTGCTTCTCCTTTCGGGTTCTGGAACTCCGTGGAACATTCTTAGGTACATATGTACATATGTATGTATGAAAATGCAAATTAAAATCAAACAAATCGAAATCGCAAGGCAAAAAGTTGAGTGATATTTAAAAAAAAAGAAGATACATACATATAGTACATATGTATGTACATGCATAGATAGATACATGCATAGTTAGATAGATACAGTACGTTCGAGATGGTCGCTAAACTGTTGCTTTTTGAGTTCGTGAATATACATACATATGTATGTATGTACATATGTATGTATGTACATATGTATGTATATATATAAGTATGTAAAGTATATAAAAAATTCTGAAATCCCACATCAATTTTTTTAGTTCTTATATATGTGATACATATGTTGGTAACATGTTAGGGTGATAGAATTCTGCGGAATACATATGTACATACATACGTACATAATTATAATATATGTATGTATGTAAAGTCTTTCAAATAAAAATCGCAATGCAAAAAATTGATTGAAATTCCTATTTACACTTGAAAAAATCGGTAACAATATAGATTTTTCTCGTATATTCTAGCCTCTCTCAATAATGTTTCTTCTCATTTAGAGTTCTAGAACCCTATGGAATATTTGAAGGCCACACAACAATAGTTTAAAGAGCTCTAATTTTAGCAGTGATATAAATTACAATGCACATTTGTAAAGGGTTTTCAATTAAATGCAATGCAATAGTTTAAATGCCTGAATACTTAAAGAAATGTAGGGCAAGCTATTAATACACTCTATACCCAAAACCTAATGGGGTATGCTAGATTGGTGTGAATCTTCATAGATATGTACATACATTCATATGTACATATGTATGTATGTATGTAACGCATAGAAAGAGGAGTATGACATCTAAACGACATCTAAATAAGGACTTCAGGACTAATGTACATATTCGTACATATACATACATATGTATGTAAGTGTAGGAATTATCTAAATTGGGATATATGCATTTATGTATGTTTTGATACGATTATCTAAGAAAAGACAAATTTCCCCGCTATAACAGTTGTAATACAAAAAATACTTGTATTTTTAAATACACTCAGATAGTGGAAGAGGAAGGTAGAAAAAAATCAAACATAATTGAACACGTTGATGCTTTTTAGTTTATTTATTCGGTAATTCATTCTAATTCTAGAATAAAGTTTCCAATTCTTAGCTCCATTAATTTGTAACCCTAATTTACAGCAGCTGAAGCTTCATTTTGATACATAGAACTATTTACTAGTAATATTACATGGAATGTTAAAATTGTTATTATATTGAAATAAAAATTGGTACATATGTACATACATGTGAATATTATAAGACCTACTTAACACAAATTCCAACTCTATTTTTGAGGGCCAACGGATCCTTAACGCATCCAGAAACTTGCTAGACTTTTTGAATATGGTCAAGGAGCCATTAATTTAAGAGGGTTGTCATAAAAGGATATCGTTTCAAATTCAGAATGGAACGGATCCTTAACGCATCCAGAAACTTGCTAGACTTTTTGAATATGGTCAAGGAGCCATTAATTTAAGAGGGTTGTCATAAAAGGATATCGTTTCAAATTCAGAATGGAAACAAAATGTGTATCTTTGTCTAAAAGAAGAAGTTGAAGAATTAAAAGCAACTTGGAGCACTCCTGAATGTAGGCAGAAAGTGTCTCATTTTTTAGAGCCACTCTTATTAGCTTTCACATAAGTATGTAGGTATGTATATATGTACATACATATGTAGTATGTATATGTACTTCAGTTGCTTCTCCCAACTCTCATTACTGCCTGCTGTTCTATCAAATTGAAAACCGGCATTGCAAAAAAGTCTCCAAACGTTGTCGTCGATTTGGAGGCTTTTACACGCACACATGCAACCAACATACGCAGACACACGCGAGACTGCACTGCGCATGTTTACGCAAAACTTGTCTGCAACACTTCTCCACTACGCCTCCCTGCCAACCATTGAAAAAATTATCATCAGACGTTGACGATGCGGTTGCCGGCCGGCCGGCTGACTGGCTGCTTTCCAGGCCTCCAGGCCGCAACTACCAGCTGTTGTTGTTGCTGTTACTATTGTTGTTGCGGTTCGCCGGTTCGTTGCCGGCAAAAAACTCTTTTTTTCTCGTCATCTTGCAGCTCTTCTCTGCTGTTTTTTCGCTGGCTGCATGCAGCAGTGCAGCAACTAAAGGGAGAAGGAGTTCAGCTGCAACAACGTAAATATGTATGTACGTTTATAAAAACATATGTAAGCTACATATGTACTCACATATGTATGTATGTATATCAATACATATGTAAGTATGTATATGCTGGCGTGTCTACCCCAACTCGTACCGGTTTCTGTCATGGTACGAAGAAACTAGAAGGTATGTGCTTGTGTAGGTCCATTATATGGTGCTCTTTTCTGTGACGACACAATATGCTCAATATTTTTTGCATTATGCTGCTTTTGTTGCCACGTGTTATTTACCTCGCAGTTAAATTCAAAAATTGTATTAAATAAAATTTGTCTATATTACTAGAGTGGCCAGTTTTTTGCAGTAATGCCGACATACATATATCATAATCTTTGCGCGTCAGTGAAATACATAATTTGCAGATATTAAAGAAGAAGTAATTATCAGCCAATTTCAATCGATTACAGTTACAGTAGGGGTAACAGAGAACGTAATGTTATTAGACGCTCACTCACTCGCACGTGCCTTATGAGAAGCATATTATGACGTAACTGTGCTGTAGGAGTAAAGAGGTTGCAGCCGTTAGAGTTATACCTTCTCTCTTCATACTATGGTTGCATAGGCATCTCTGCCTGCTGATTTCTGTTGCCTTTTTTATATGCGCTTTTTGGTCTGTATTTTTATTATTTTTATATGTATGTATGTATGTGTTTGCACATTGTACTTTCTTTGTTCACGTCAGGCTTTGAACTTGCACTACATGGTCTAAATATAGCAACGACAGCCGGCAAAAATAATGTACATACATACAAATGTATGTATGTATGTATTCATATGGACAAAAGTTTTCATTTGCATCCATGGGGGCTTGCAATTTGGGAAATTGATTTCTTTATCTCACAAATCTCTTAAAATAAAACGTTTTCCTATACACATGTATGCATGTCTATACATACATACATACATACATACATATGTATTCATATACCTAAGTATGTATGTACATGTACGTTTGCAGTATATACATACATATGTACATAGTAGAACTGCCCTCTATCTGTGCAACAGAATATTGCCACACGCATTTTGCATAAGCCAAGCCCGAACCCGAGCCGACAAGAGAATTGCAGCAGCGCCTTCGTTTTGGACACGAGAGCTGGCATGTTCCAGGCCAGACAGTCAGTTTTCCATTCAGCGCTGCACAGTCGTTTAAAAGCCAGAAAATTCAGCCATAAGAGCTCAAACGAAAGCCAGTTAGAAGCCGGAACGGATCGCAGACGTTGTGAAAGCGCGTGTCTCGATTGCCATCCTCCAGTCAAGAAATTTTAAACAGCCAGACCTACACACACATACAACACTCACGCATACACATCCAATCAAATTCACAGACATTGCAAAAAAGAAAATTCAATTTTTTAGAGCATCCCATTAATAGTATATTTTAAATAAAATACAAACACTTTTGGCCAAAATGTCACTGATACCCTTTATAATGGATCTGGCCCACGAGCTGGAGAATTATACGGTGCGCATGAATGAAGCGATGGATATTGAGGAGGTCGGCTGCGGTATGTATCCATTGGAGCAGCTGGCCGCCACGCAATCACAGCAGCAGTCGCAGCATCCACACCCACAATTGTCGCCATCGGCTCGTCGAGCAGCACGGCTGGCCGCCGCTATTTCCCCCTCTGCTGCAGCATCTTCGCTTCTGTGGGTGCCCATTCGGAGTCATCAGCACTCGTTGTCCCATCATCAGACGTCGCATCGTCATCATCCCTACGGCGCCAAGACTGTCTGCTGTAATAAGTCTGTGCTGGAATTGGAAAAGGAATTGGCCGAGAAGCTCATTGGCAACTCCTCCAATGCCGCAGCCCCATCAATGGCTAGCAAATCTTCGGCCTATTCTTTGGCCAATCGTAATGGTTTCCAGGTGAGCATGAATGTGAAGCAATTTGCACCTCAGGAGCTGACAGTGAAGCTCATCGATAACTCCATTGTGGTTGAGGGTCAGCACGATGGTAAGCAGGATGGTCATGGCATTATTTCGCGTTATTTCAAACGCAATTATCCACTACCCGAGGCTTTTGTCGCAGCCGATGTGCAGTCGTTGATTTCATCGGATGGTGTGCTAACGGTGAAGGCGACACCACCGTTGCCGCCACCACCACCACCACCCACAACAACAACATCGGCAGCTTCTCTTGGGAGAGGAGCGGGCGAAGAGCGAATTATTGACATACAGCTGTTGGGTGGACCGGCCCAAATGCAGCAACAACAACAACAACAGCAGCAGCCTCCGCAGTCGCAGCCGCTGCAGCAGCAACAACAACAACCGAAGGATGTACAGACACCAAAATGTGCTGCTGGTAGTGCTGCTCCAGCTGCTGCAGCCAATAGCGAGAATGAGCAGGCAATTGTCGCTCCTACTCCCTCTCCCACTCCCATTGCAGTTGCAGCCACCGTCGCTGTTGCTGTCGCCGCTGTGGAGCAAAAGAAGAGCGAAGAAGAGCGCAATGGCAATGCTGCCATTGCTGAAATTGCAACTGTAAAAGAGACAGAGCCGTCGTCAGTGGAAACTTCCAATGCTAACAATGGGGTTGCTACTCCTTCTGCTCCCATCAAAGCTGCTGAAGCTGCCGAACAGGCCAAATCCGAACCTATGGAGGTGGCTGAGACTATTTCAGCTGCTCCTCAAACTGCCACCGACAAGGAGGTAGCCAAAAAATCAACTGCTACTAATGCTGTTGAGGAGTCCTCTCAAGCAGCCAACAATAATGTAACAAACAATACCAACAAGGACGACGCTGAGAATGTCGCACCCGAAGATGTGGAGAAAGTGTCCAACACCACTAACCTTAAGGGCGCTGAGGAACTGGCCGCTGCCGATGCGGCCATACTTTTGGCCAAGAATCAAAACCAGAGTGGCGAAAATGGCGCCGCTGGTGCTGTCGCTGATGTTGTCGCCGCCGCTAAAAGTGAGGAGCTGGTCAAGTAAATGAAAAGTAATTGAAAAGAGACTGATTCCTTAAAATGCAAGAAAAGGCTGCAAAAAAAAAAAACATAAGACAAATGACATGCGTTTTTTATTCCATAAATGGTTTTTATGTGTTTTTTTCGTACTTTACTTACCGATCATGATTATACATACAATGAATGGCTAGATTGATGATAATGGTGACGATAATGATGATGATGATTCAATTATACTATGATATGAAATTATGATTTCCTAAAACATATGTGAAAACAACTACAAGTATTCAGTAATAATAACACATAATGTATTTAACGATAAATAAAGACAAACAAAAGTGCGTTTCTGCATTTGCAAATTTGTTACTTTGTTATTGTGTTTTTATATTTTGTTTTCTTTGCCGTTAGCGCACACATGCATTAGTTTGCTGTGTCGCTTACACACACATAGGGGATAAAGGCAGCTGATTCACTTGTGTTGCGCTCTCTCGCTCAGTTGTTATACCCTGTAGTCGTGGAGTACACGCACATACATATGTGCGAGATTCTCTTCATTCCATTTCAAATGTCATCCGAGTATAGTTAAAAGAACATAACTTTGCGCTATTACTACGTATTCTTTCTTTGTTTCTTTACAGCGCTCGTTTTGCATCGTGTATAACACAGCGTCGTACGATTTTTCTTTGGTACAGGGTATTTTAGTATCGACCTGGCTTTACTGAATAATTCTCTCTCGTTTCTATTGCCTACTCAATTTCTCACACTCTCTAGCGTTTACGTGACTTTTCTAGAAGAGCACGACACACTCACTCACTCTCTAGCGTTTACGTGACTTTTCTAGAAGAGCACAACAGAGCAGAGGCATTGCTATAAAAGCCGCTGGCCGGCCCGAATTTGTATGCAGTTATAATTCAGAAACCGTTGTGTGAACTTCGCAGTGCGAAAAAAAGCAAACTCAAGTCCTACAAAAAGATTTGCAAATTAACCTCAAAAGCCATATTAAGTCGAAGAAAAATCAAGCGTTTTAGTATTGCAAGTTAACCTCAAAAGACATTTTACTTTGAAGAAAAAGCCAGTATTCTAAAGAAGTAATTTCAAAGATGGCTCTGTCACAACTGTTGAGTCTTGTGGATGAGCTGCACGAACCTCGCAGCCCCGTTTATGATTTCGGCCTCAGCATGCATCCGCGTCATTTACACACCACCTGGGCCACACCTCAGCGTCTAGCTGTCTGTCCATGTGCTTCGCCTGCCTGTCCGGCCTCGCCGGCCGGTCAAATGCTGGCCGCACGTCACCACACCCGCGAAGCGACCAAGAAGAGCCACCAGGATTGGCCAATGGCTGCAATTGGAAAAGATGGTTTCCAGGTGTGCATGGATGTGGCCCAATTCAAGCCAAGCGAACTGAATGTCAAGGTGGTGGACAACTCCATTGTGGTCGAGGGCAAGCATGAGGAGCGTCAAGACGACCATGGCTATATCGCACGCCATTTTGTGCGTCGCTACAATGTGCCGCAGGGCTACGAACCGGAGAAGGTGGCCTCCTCCCTATCCTCGGATGGTGTGCTCACTGTTACCATTCCAAAGCCACAGCCCATTGCGGACAAGACGAAGGAGCGCGTCATTCAAATACAACAAGTCGGTCCAGCCCATTTGAATGTCAAGCAGAACCAGGTTGAGGACAAGGAGAACAAGGACAAAGAGAAGGCTACCAATGGCAGCGCCAAGAAGTAATGCCGCGTATTCAGTATCTCCTGCAGTACAATGCTCATCACATCATCTCAACACACTATCCATCAACCATACACATGTTTAGTTTTAGTTTCTAGCCTTAAACAGCATTTTTGTGTAACAAAACAAAGACATGAATAAACTTATGTAAAACACCAAGTGTTCAACTATGAATAACAGATATCAATTTAAATATTATGTATTTTTATTTCACCTTTTTCTGCACACTGTACAGTTGAATATTAATTTTATAGAATGCTAATAACTCCACCTCCAGCATTTCCCACATTTTTGGAAGAAGAATACTTGTGTACTTGAGTACTTGTGTAAAACACCGAGTGTTCAACTATGAATAACAAATATCAATTTAAATATTATGTATTTTTATTTCACCTTTTTCTGCTCACTGTACAGTTGAATATTAATTTTATAGAATGCTAATAACTCCACCTCCAGCATTTCCCACATTTTTGGAAGAAGAATACTTGTATGGTGAAGTTTCTCTTATTAAATAGATATTCCATTTAAAAACCATAGAATGTGTGAGTCATTTAAGATGATTTAACAACTAGTTAAATATTAATGATTCGATTTATGATTTCTAGGCGTCGAATAAATAAACTGATGGCTGTTTCTGCACTTAAAATCAGGTTAAGATTTGAATACGCGCTCACCAAGAAAGGAAGCGTATAGCTGGAAGACACCATGTTGTTGATACTAACATACATACATACATAATTTAGATCTTTTGAAGCCTCACGGCTAGGGTTGGTTGCACATATAGCGCCATTTATTATTACCCTTAGTAGCATTAACTATTTGGTACTTATGATTAATTTATGGGCATTACTCCCTATATTCTGAAAGAGCGCTAAAATGTGTATGTGCTCTATATTATGATAATCATATACTGTATATAAATATTATATGAATATAGCTGTTACTTGTCGATTCTACGGATCGTTCCTATTGCATCTACATAGTGAGTCTTGATAAAAAGACAGATTATGTTGTGATGCTATAGAAAACAAATACGTTTAATTATCGAATTCTGAAGATATCTTCATAAACTAAAATGATATACTACTAAGACTGATTTTCACATGGACCCTAGCTGTTAGTTCAAACTTTATGGATGTTCAGACAGACGGACATACATATGTCTGTATTGATTCGTCTCGTCCTGGTGCCATATCTGAACACAGGAAAAACGAGCTCTGCCCAATGTGCACTGATTCTAACCGAGAATATATTTATATATACAAATATAGGAAAATTTCACGGCTCATTTCCAAAGATTTTTAGCTTAAAATAGAAAATCTCTAATTTGTAATGCTATTGTCCTAAGCAGCTGGGGCACCAATAAATTGGACTGAACCATTCAGCTGTGACCGGAGGAATAAACAACCACCGCCCATTCGATGTTTTAAGAGTATATATCTATATATTTATTGCGCATTTAATATTATGTATGGCACTATTTTACAATTCGCAATCGTGTGTATTTTATTTTAATTGAATTTTTCGTTCGTCTGTCCGTATCCGTGTCTGCGTCCGTCCGCCTTAAGTGTTGCACTTGCACTTGTGCCTGAGCCCGAAAATAGTTCACCTTGAATTCTCTATCCTCTCTAAATACGTATTTCTTTAGACTCATTTCCATGGCAGAGCCAACTTGCCCGTTTCATGGACCCGTACCAGTCGCTCGCTGGGCGTATAGTACTTAGCTGGAGGCGGTGGTGGTGCCTTGATGGTCAGTATGCCGTCTGAGGATAGATCCGATATGACCTCGTTGGCATTATAGCCACGTGGCAGTAGATATTTTCGTACAAAATGACGCTCCACCATGCCATTGGGTCCTTCATTGCGTTTATTATGATTTCCCTGAACTATAATGTGGTCGTCATTGGTTTTAACCACAATCTCCTCGGGTCGGAATGGGTGGACATCGATGTCAATGCGGAATCCCTTTTCATCAACGTGCACCCGCTCTCCCGAATAATAGTTATCCCAGCGCATTGGATACGCCCAGTCTTGGGGCGTAGTGGACTGTATCAATTGATTCCTCACTCGTCGTGTTACCAACTCGTCCAAGGGACGAAGCCAATCACTGGTACGGGGACCAGTGATGCTGGGCCACCAGGAACGCGAATCATCCCAAAGATAGGGATAGAGTTGGTAATCATAGGGCTGTCGATAGCGTGGATGGTCAAATTCTCGCGATAAATCCCGATAGGTGGTCGGTACTAGAGTCATTGCAAGACTTTTTGTCTCTGTACTGTTCGCGTTCGCGTTTGAAAGTCTTATAAAATTCTTTTACGGCGTTGCAGCCCCTTTTATAAGATCCCATAATCGAATGGCCTCCCTTCGCAATGCATTCTGTGTTTGCGGATGTTCAGAATAGATGATTCATCGCTCGGTTCGCTGTTCTAGATGCAACACGGGCGGAAATAATCGCCAAGAAACAAGCCATAGAGATTCATGAATTTGCAGTTGGCGCGAAAATATCGTACATTGGTCCGAAATTTTACCTTTTACTTTGTGCCTTTGAAAACAAATTCGTAGCAATAAGTCTTAGATAAACATTTTTAATAAAATCGAAACATCATATTTATTTTTACCAAAAATTGCAATTGCCAAAGGAAAATTGTAAAAATTAACAATGAAAAATGAAATGTCTATCCTAAATCAATATTTTAAATTTTTGATATTGTTGTAACTGGAAGAAAACCCGAATGATCAGTTTCAAATATGTTAAAAAAAATTTTTGTATTTACGAATTTAAATACCTTTCTAGTTTTATTATTTTTATTTATTGATTTAAGTTAAATCATCAATCAATCAATAATATATTTTTTCTGGATGTATTTTACGTTACAAAAATGTTTTTCTAAAAATTATACATTAAGAAATTAAATACCTTTAATATAAGTATATTTTTCATTACTTTCTTTTGATTCTAAATCAATATCAGGAGTGATTACATATTTTTAGATTTATTACTATTTTTTTTTTTTTTTTTGAGGGGTGAACAAATAAAGATTATTAGATTAGATTAGATTTATTATTAATTTGAACACATATTAATCAAAATGTAATCCATCTTACAAAACTTTGGCTGGCTAATCGAAGTACTGTTTTTGGTGTTCATTGCCGGGATTGTTGATGCCTGTACCTTCTTAGACCGTTTAATTTCTTTTCCCCTAAAAATTTGTACAACTGATTGTACATTTCACCTATGCATTTCGAATTACTGTGATAATTTTCGCCTGACTTAGCCGACTTTATTCTAACGTTTATATTGATTCATATGTATGAATGTAGTTCGATATGTCTGCTACTAAGTTTCATGTTTGAGGTGCTCTCAGTAATCCTACCAAAATATATATTACAAGTTTACATTTTTTTTTTGCATTTTCATTTCTGTAGCATTTAAGCACACTGTGTGCTTCCAAGCGTCGTCTGCCGTGGCCAATTGGACGCACGTCAAGTTTTTGGTGGCGTCACAAACGAAAGTGCTGAAATCGTTGGATCTCTTCTAGAATATGGTAAACAGAAAAAAAAAAAACGAAATTATAAAAACGCAAGTCATTTGGTGTGTTGCATAGGCGCCTATTTATTTTTTAAATTTTTGTAAAAGCTAATCGATATTTAAATTAAGGGTAAATTTACATAAGGGACTAATAACGACACTAGAGGACTAAATAACGAAGGGACTCAGTCCAACTATCTCATGCTCTGTAGGATTGGCTCCTTATTGCTTCTCCTTCTGGTTAGTTGGTTCGATGGTTTCGGCTTTGTTCTCAATGGGTGGATTTGGCTTGATGTTCAATTCTGCCGGTCCAGTTTGTTGGATTGGAACCACACGTTCTTTAAGCGCCTCCTCAATGGCTGGTGGATTGGGGACGCTGACAGTGAGGACGCCATCGGAGCTGAGTGTGGAGATGGCTTTGTCTGCCTCATAGCCCTCGGGCAGGGCGAAACGTCGGAGGAAGTGACGTGAAATGTAGCCTCCTTGTTCGCCCTCTTGCTGCTCGGATTTACCCTCAATGATGACGGCGTTGTCCCGCATTTTGACGGTCAACTCATTCGGTTTATAGTCACTGACATCGATGGACACCTGGTAACCATTTTTGCCCACATTGGGTGTGGCGGCCCACTGCTGATCCTGCCAGCGTGCGATTTGCTGCCAATTGCGAGGCACTGCAACACTTGTCCACATCGGCTCGTTGAAGAAGGCATGGAAGGGCGAGATGCGTGGCATTCGTGTTAGCTCCTCAGCCATGCGTAGCAACATTGGTAGGGAACGCATTGTTATTGTAGTTATTCACTATTTTCTGAAGCAATTGTAATTTCAAATATCAGTTGTGAAATTTTTAATTTCTCGTTTCTTTTTCGTTTATTCTTCGCGCTAAGCTGTTTTCGCTTTGATTAATTTGTCTGAACTGCAAGCAAGCTGTTCCGTTCACAGCTATTTATACTCGCCGGTCAACGTTCTCGTTATTTCGAGAACTCTCTCTCTCTCTCTCAGTCTTTCTCTTGACTAATGGCTGACGCAATTAGCGCATGAAATTGTGGGCTGGAAGTTACTAGAAAATTATCCCAACAAAACTGTCTCAGTATTATGTAATTAGTATTCAGCTATATCATATTGATTGCATTATATACAAAATATATTAATTTTTATTTAAGCCAGCGTACAAATTGTTCTCTTTCTAATCTGTTGCTGTTGACGACAAATTTTACTTGCAGGTTTGGGGCAGGTCAGTTTTTCCGGTCATGCGCCGCACTGTGAGAGCGCGATGAGTTTGTCTGTGTGAGTGCCTGAGTGTTAAAGAGTATCCGTTAATAGAGCCGGCACATGGGCGTCGGGTCCCCCTTTAACAACTAACAAACTAAGAGCGATAGAGAGAAACAGGTTTGATTATGGAATGCTCTCTAGTTTATTCTTAATTTGATTTTAAATATTTTAATGTACTCGCTAAGGGATACTCTGAAATTTATTATCGCATTGCCATTGATTTAAATATAAATTGTTTTTTATTGTTAATTACAGTATTCACATTCTCTGTTTTCTAAGTAAGACTATTGTTAGTGTAATACATAAAAATAATAATGTTATATAAATGTAATATTATGTAATCGCTGTACTCAAAGAATTAAATTCAGTGTGCGAATGTATGTAATAAACAGAATGAGGGTCTAGGAAATTAATTGAATCACCAAACTATATGTATGTCCTATATATATCCTTCTAAAAAGCATGCATCGATTGTTTCTATGGCAGCTATAAAAAATAATTAGATTATAACAAATTTGTGATAAACTTGGCCTGCGAATGGATAAGGCAAGTCAATATGCGAAGTTTGGTGTCCCCCTCTTGATGTTCATACATTAAAACATTTTAGTGTACAGTTTTGACCTTAATCTTAAATTGATAGGGAATTCGTTGTATTGACCAAGAACTGAAATTAAGTTTGAAAAATTAAGCAAAAATTGTAGTAGGCCTGTAACCTGTTGATTAGTTAAGTAAGTCAATCATTTTGGTTATAAGTATGAATGTTGTAATTACTTTTCCACCGCGATTAAAAAGTCCAGGTATTGTTAAAGTTCATGAGCGCCGTCTTGTTAACAAACCCAAAATTCCAGTGCATATAGTTATTAGTATTGTCGCACTTACTGACGACCAGCTCGTTTGTTTTCGGCAACATCGCTAAACAGCGTGGGTTCTGCTGCCCTTGCTTCAGCAGCTTTTGCTTGTAGTCGAAGTACCAATACTGATTACGACCTCTATTGTGGCACTTATATAACCACAGTGTTGCATCGCTTTTCGAAGATCTAGTCTCAAGGCAGAAGATTCGGTCGTTTATGCGCAAGTCCCTATGCCAGGTGAGGGCCCAAAATTGCGATGGAGGTGGACCCGTTGAGTTGTCGGCGCAATATTCGAGTCCAACACTTATACTTGTAGTGTTAGACTCTAATGGAGAGTTCACGCTAAATAAAACATATAAATGCCTGAAGTTGTATTGGTGCGTAAAAATAAAATGCCATACCAAAAGTCTGGATTACCAAGATTTTGTATCACGCCAAGTGCATAGTCGGGCGGCTCAAAAGGGGCGTATATTCTCATAAAATCAAAAGCCACATTCTGCAGGTACCACTTGAAAGAATTGCAATTTAGTTTAGATCGCAGAGCTTTCTGTTTTTCGAGGTTTCCAAGCATAATACTTTTATACATGCCGTTTCTCTTGTACAAGTACTTCTTGTAACCACCCATCCAGATCTCGGCCACACGTTTGTAGTTCTGCAAAAAAGAAAAATCCATCACTGTAGTTCTCTACTACGGATACAAAACTACTCGTATGTATGTATATCGGGTTATTCTCTATCAAAAAATACGTCACAATTAACATTAAACCCACCTTTAATATCTTATTCCGGTGAAACGTGTCGGATCTCATATCCGGCAATGTACGATTTATGTGCGCAACACGGGAACAAGGCGCTTCGTATAGCTCGCCTCCACACATCCATATCTTGAAACTTAGATCGTATTCTTCACCTCCGTATTGGTTGAGACCCTTATCGTAACCGCCCAGTTGCCAAAAGAACTTCGATGAAATTACGAGTGTTTCACCCAGCAGAATAGGAGTTTTGAATGGCTGCAATGGATATACCAGATCTTCGGGCAATCGGGGAGCTGTCACATGGTGAAAATTCCAATTGAAGCCACTGCGTACACCTTCAACACCTTTTCTAAAACCAAACATTTTCCCATCAATCTGATCAATAGTAGGACCCATAACTGTCGTATCATTCAAAGCAATGGGCTCCAACAATGGTGGCAGCCAATTATATCCGACCTCGACGTGAGAGCGCGTAAAGACTAAAACCTCAGCGGTGGCATTTAATGCTCCTGCCATACGTGCTCTAATCGGCCCACTCCGTTGTCTTAGACGTAAAATTCTTACGTTCTTAAAGTGCTGGGCTACGTAGTTTTCCAGGGGCTTTTGTAAAAAGTTAAGATCGCTAAAGTCGTCCACAAGAATGATCTCCTTAACTAATTCGGGCGGTGAGCGATTTACTAAACTATGCAGGGATCGAAGCAACACGCTTTTGTGCTCGTTGAAGAAAGTGACAATAATGCTCACCATTGGCAGCTGCCTCAGGTATACTTTTAATTTGCACCTGTGGGGAGGGAAGGATAGAGTTCGTTTCGTTGTTTTTGTATGCCTACAAAACTTACGCTTTAGGCCTGAAATCGGGAACCGAACGATTAACCGATATAATGTCGGAGAGCTTTGCATTCAGTCGATGTATCTTATAGAGTTCGCTCTGCAAATCGAGTGGAAATCTCCTAAGATTCGTTGCCTTTCCGTGCTCTCCAACTCCGACACGGTGGGCATCTCGCATCATGGCCCTATGGTTCTGCCAGTCCTTCTTCAGTCCAAGTGATAAGTTCTCTTTTAGTGGCTTCGATTTTAATTGAGGGCTCCATTGCTTTCGCCAATTACGCCCTACGAAAACGATTCCCTTTCGAATGCCACGTATAATATTCTTAGTGGTATCTCTCAGTTTGCCGTAGGAAAGGGCTGGCAGAATATCTGCAGCCAGCCCGTGCGGCTGGAGTATGTAGGGTGGGTGTATGGAACTATATAGGGTCGAACTCCATGTGTTGGCGATTAGAATTCCACCCAGGACAGTGAAATTTAATAAGAGTAAAAACCTTAATTTAACCCAATGTCCCATTTCGTTTGCTAGCAATTCACTTCTACTAATAGTCTCTATTCGATGGTAGTATTGATTTTAAGTATAAATTTCACGGTTCGATTCGACACACTATGTCTGTTGATTCGATAAAAAGTTAGCCTGAAATATATTTTTTGCTTCAAGAGTTTAACTTCTTGTTTACTCGTATTACGATGATGACTAAGAGAGACCACTAGTAACGCACCATTACTGAAGAGTATTAAGTACAACTTGGAAATTCGAATAAATTTTTGACTATATGCTAAATTTATTAATGATCGATTAATACATGATTCATATTTTCCTGCCAATCTGTCGTGGCACTAAATAATTTATTTTATCAAATGTTTATTGAATTCGGCTAAAAAACTCACAGGTATTCGAAAGTTAATATACACATGTATGTATCTAATTGAAGTAATAAGTAGTCTAATCCATTGCCAAAAAATGTTGGTTAGCCAGCGGTACTGAGATTGTCCGCTGACTTAGCCAGATAGACCTTCCCTTTGGGCCCAATCCAGCCAAGAGCCGTGATATACGCGTATGCTGCAAATATAATTTTTGTAAAATATAATCATATATTACTGAATATAAAAGGCACTTACTTGGACCAACCCAAATCCTTGGCTATTTTCTCAGCTTCCGATGCACGTCGTCCGGATCGACATGTGAAAATAATGTCGGCATCTTTCTCGGGCTTCGCACGGCCATATTTACTCTGAAAATCGTCTGGCTCGCTATTCAGGGCATCGGACAAAGTAGTCACTGCAGTAGTTATACATATGTACATATGTATGTATATTTAGCATTACGGTTTCGATATTATAGGACTTTTTGACAGCTTACAGGGTATATTAATGCTGGCCGGTATGCGCCCCGACTCCTCCAACTCCTCAGGATTGCGCACATCGATCAAATAGATTTCCGGATGATTGGGCACATCTTTAACATCCTCGTACGTGGCCATTGCTAATATTTTCCCCTCTCTCTAGAAGCACTTCTAACGCTAGTCTCCAGGGCACTGAATTTTTAATCGCCCCGTTCATTTATTATATGCCGAGTGGGGCTTGTCTAAGGCTTTCTGTTGCTGCTTCTGCTTGGCTTATCGCCCTCGCCAGAGCGACAACCACAATCTGTCTAGAATTCAACCTGCAGCTCTAGTTATTGTTGTTATTGTTATTATTATTATTACTGTTGTTGTGGTGGCTCTATTGTGGTATTGTTAGCCGTTATGGTTGACGCCAGCGAGTGTCTGTTGGAGCCGGGCCGGGCCGGACTGATGGCGTTAATTGGCGAAAGCGACGCCGTCCGCTGCTCATCAAATTACTGAGCGCCGTCGTCAGTTGCAATAAGCGAGATTTTAGAGACTAAAAATATATCTACTTGTACATAGTAATTACAGTGGGTGCACTATAAAGTGGAGGGATCATAATATAAATATTCTAATTCTACAATTTCCAATGGACTTTCTCCTTTCAATAATAAAGAGCCATTAACAACAATAGCGTTAGACGAATTTCTTCTGGTAAAAGTTAATATGCAAGTTTTGGTTTTAAAGGATATTATATAGTAGTATATTTTAACATATTTTTTCTTCAGTTAGTTGAATCAAATGCCTGGTAAATTGTGTTGTGTTCCCTCTAATTTTATTTCTTTTTTTTTTTATAATATTATGCGCTTAAGTCTTAGCAACTTTGTAGCTCTACTGTTCAAATGAGCACTGTACTTTAATAGTATTTTTTTATTCTTATTTTCAGAGTACAAAATAGTGAGATGCTCGCAAACTAAGAGCGGCCCCTCAAGACCGGTTTTGCGATGTCCACACAAATTTGGAGCCCACAAATATACAATCTATGGTATTTTTTTGTTATTAATCAGTTCTAATCATAATTCTATAATTAAATTATTGAAAGCTAAAGCTTAAAAAGTGATAGGCAAAATACAAATTTCAGTTGGTGTTACTGTTTCATAAATATTTAATGCCATTTTTGGGGACGATATAATTTCGAACGAACACTGTTTGTAATTTTCAAATAAATGAAAAACTAGACCTAACGGAAAATTGAATTAAACTAAGACTTGTTATAGAATTGGGATATCATTGGTGCTTCTTCGATCAGCGCTATCCAGTTTATTTTTTGCCACCTCATATAATATTCTAAAATATTTAACGTTGTTAAACCTTCAGCTTGTTAGGTAACTCTGTCAGAATTATACGATAGTTGAAGCATAAACACATATTTGAAAATCATTTCCTATAAAAAGAATAAGAATAAAGCTTTGTATCGAATTAAAACTGTTTTTAATTTTCAAGTTCAACTTTTCAATACTGAGCCCCAGACGTTGTTCATGGGCCTATGTATGTATGTGTATGTGGGGGCGTTCTGAAACGTTTAGCGTATCGGGTGATGTCTGCGGTCAACGTGTCTCCCGCACACACATCTGTATAATCAGACATACAATATTACGCAGACACACAGACACACATACACGCACAACTTGCTCCAGATGCTTCCTTTTGTCGCTTCGTTCGCTCTAGAAAAAGCACAGCCTGTGCAGAGCTTTCGACTGCTCCGAAAGTTATAAAAGCAAGCGTCATTGGTCCCAACTCCACATTTGTGTCGTGAAAATTGAGTTAAATTGGTTCGGCTGGTGGTTGCAGTCTCGTTAAGTCATCAACAACCTCCGACCCTTTTACATTATCCGGATAGAGAGAGGTTGGCCGCAGTTCAGCGAACCTGCACCAGATACACAGAAATACACAGAAGGTGAAAAATTCTGCTTGAGGAATAGAAGGAGAAAATCAAGAAAATGCCAGACATACCGTTTGTTCTAAACCTGGATTCGCCGGACTCGATGTACTATGGCCATGACATGTTTCCGAATCGCATGTATCGGCGTATGCATTCAAGACATCACGATCCATTGGATTTGCACGCTCTGGGGCTGATTGCCCGTCTGGGCGCCCATGCACATCATCTGGTGGCCAATAAGCGTAATGGCGAGTTATCTGCGCTGGGAGGTAGCGTTGGTAAGGACGGGAAGTCGCCGTTTGAGGTGAAACTGGATGTGGGGCTCTTCGATCCAAGCGAGCTGACCGTTAAATTGGTCAATGGTTTCGTCATTGTTGAGGGAAAGCATGAGGAGCGTGAGGATGAGCACGGACATGTATCACGTCATTTTGTGCGTCGCTATCCCTTGGCCAAGGAGTACGATGCTGACGCTATCGTCTCCACATTAAGTGCAGATGGTGTGCTTACTATTAAAGTGCCACCATTGGCATCGCAGGAGGAGGCAGAGGAACGTATTATACCAATCAAACAGGTGGGCCCATCCGATTTGTTTGTGCAGCAGGCACAAAATGGCAATGGTGGACCTAAAGAGCAGGTCCCCGTGGCCAAGTAAAGAGGGACTCCTTCCTATTTGGGGTAGTTAAGTGATTTTCCAAGACTCGTTCTCATTGCACTAGAAAAGGAAGTAAAAAAGGCGCGAATTTATATTACTTATTGCGCACACAAGCATATTTTATTACTTATTATTAATTACATTTTAATGTCATATGCGTATTTAATCGAATCCAATCCAATTTAAAGACTAATCCAAATGCAGTATTAAATAATAAATATTAATGTCATATGAATGTAATGAAGTGCGTGTCTTTTGCGTGATAGGACTTTGTTTTTATGTTGCCGTGGCCTTTAACTTCCATTTTTGTCATTTCCATTGCCCGTTTTGTTGCTGTTACTGTTGTTACTGTTTATAAAGCTTTCCAACGTTCTGCGCGGTATTTTGAAAATTGTGTTTAAAAGCAGTATTGCCTCTCTGTAGTTAGCATGCCTAGGACTTGATTAGTGTTGGCAACGCCATAGATCAGCTGTTTGATTGGCAGCACTGGCACCTCTGCTGTAACGTGAAAAAATGATTTGTTTACTTTTGCGGCAATCGCGCATTTCTTGCAAATTAATAAGTAAACAAGTCATAAAGCCCGCCGCTTACACATCTCACCATGCTCTGCACACAACAAATCGTAAGTAGAGTTTTGATGCACATGCTCGGCACGTAATTCTTATCATGTATTATGAAATTGTTTTTTTTTTCAGTGCTTCAGCATGGCGAGTACGAATGGCAAGAACCCAAATCTCCTGATGAAATGTGAGTTACATTAAATATAATAACAGAAAAAAAGAGTCTCGGCTATATGTGACATTTGCAGTGTAAATATCACCTATGTGGACAAGGATGGAAAGCGCGTCAAGGTACAGGGAAAAGTGGGCGATAATGTCCTGTATTTGGCACACCGACATGGCATTGAAATGGAGGGAGCCTGCGAAGCCTCGTTGGCCTGCACCACTTGTCATGTTTATGTGCAGCACGACTATCTCGAAAAGCTAAACGAGGCTGAGGAAAAGGAGGATGACCTGCTGGACATGGCACCATTTCTACGTGAGAACTCCCGCCTGGGCTGCCAGATTGTGCTGGAGAAGAGTATGGAAGGAATGGAATTGGAGCTGCCGAAGGCAACTCGTAACTTTTATGTCGATGGGCATAAACCAAAGCCACATTAGCATCAAATTGTTAATTTTGTTGTAATATATACATTAACGAAATAAAAGATTTAATTTTTATGTGTTTTTCGTTTTCAACTTTGTATATATTTCTTAAACGCTCGTTTTGTGTGTTTGTGTGTATGTGTGGTGTTCATACACATTAAATAAACTAAAAAGAAACATTTATTTAATTTGAGCTTATCAAATAGTTGAAACTACAATTGCTAACTGATAATTACAATTAGAGAAAAATAATATGAAAAATTTTTTTTATGTGTGAAAAGTAACATAACGTAAAGGATGTAAGAACAATATTGTTAAATTATGATACAATTAAAGCAAAAAGTACAAAAAGTTGCAGTTGTAAAACGACAAACTAAAAAGCAATAAAACTACACTCAAAGTGCTCGTGTAGATAGATGTGTTCAATTCGAAGATGGGCTGCTGGAACCGGAACGCGAACGCACACTGGCCCGATCCTGGTCGTCACTGCGCTCCTCGTCTCGTTCCCCGCTCTGGCTCTTCTCATCCTTCTCCAGTTCGCGGTCTGATCCCAACATAATGGGTTTGTTCTCTGGCGTACTTGATGCCTCCTCTTTGGGCGATAGATTTTCACGTTTGATAGCTTCCTTTTCCAATTTGGTTAAATTGTTGCTGCCCTTTTTGTTGTTGCTGTTCAGCTTCTTCATGCCGGCCAAATCTTTAAGCAGGGTAGCAATCTTGCGATTCAGGTTGTCAACCTTCATGTCATGCAATCGATCCACCTCCCTCAGTTTGTTTCGCATTTCGTTCTCCTTTTCAAAATTGGCGCCCTTCAGTTCAGTTAACTGTAGTTATTAAAATTATTAATACTTAGTAATATAATTCGTTTGATTTTTAAAAGCATCATCGAAATCCAAAATATTTGTAAATTATGGGAAAAGGATGCGTTACGCCACGTTTTTTATAGTAACGGATAAAAATTTCGATGGATTCGCTTTAGACACCCACCTGTTTGTCCTTTTCTAGCAGCTCCTTGTCTTTTTGCTGCAATCGTTTCTCCAGACTGGCGATCCGTTCCTTTAGATGTGTTATCGCCACTACGTGGTCCGATGAGTTTGTATCGATGTTTATGGCCGCGGGAGCTGCAATTGTGCCGTTGCCGCCATTACCTCGGGATATTTTGTCGGGCAGATCGAGACCGGCACCGCTTACAGCTGTCACGCCTCCTCCCGCATTGCTACCACTCTTCCCAAGGTCAGCGCGTGTGGGTTTCTTTGCCGCACTGTCTCCTCTGTGCCCGGAACCGGACGACGATTTCTCGTGCGGTCGTTTCTTTGTCATGGGTATTCGGCCCTCTTGCTGAGCCTTCAACAGGGCACGTTTATAAGCGCAGGTACACAGCCAACAGAGCAGTTTACCATTGACCTGCAAGTAGGTGAAAAAACATTTGGTCTAGTTTTACAATCGGCGACAAGGGTTAAAATACGTTTGTTTTAAAGCTACTTAAGTCTACGTCTCTTATGAACGCAATACATATACATATATTCTTCATTCTCAGAGCTGTCAGTCTGCCTGCACGGACGCATTCAACAGCGAAAACGACGACAGCGACTTGACATTGATATTGAGCTGAGGGGTGCACGGACGCAAAGCCACCCTTTCCGAGTTGCTGACGTCACATTCGATTATATTTGTTTTGACTTAAAGGTATTTTTATTTAAATTTGAAGTGCTGCGTCCTTGGGCGTTGAGTCTGTGAGTTTTTTTTCGTTCGCTGACCTTTTTATTCTCGTCGCGCCTGTCAAAGGCTGATCGCAGCTTGCACTCATCGCATTGTACTGGCGGTCCATACTTCGCCTCGTAGCTGGCGCATCTATTTGCAGTAAGTGTGTGATTTTGTTTTGTTTTAAAATTGTTTCACACGTGGGAGCAGAAAAGAAAAGAAGAAAAATGTTTTGCGTTCATAAGAGACGTTGTTTTTTTAATATATAATTTGCTTTTTATTTTTGATTTGAATATTTTTTTTTGGTTTTTTGTACGAAAGCAAAAGCTACTGAAGAAAATATACACGCAAATGTTCTGGTACTTTGAAGGCACAATTCAAATTTTGGATGGTAGAAAATAATGGAGCTGGTGGAAAATATTTTAAAGGTTGAAACATAACATATAAATATATATATATCTATCTGAGATAGCACATTTATCATCAAATAAAATTTAATTTGTTCATTTGCTAAGTAATTCAAGGTTTTTCATTCGCTGGAGACGTATAGACGATGTCGTCGTTTATATAAACATTGTGCGTTCAAATTACACTGCCACGTTGCTCGTGCAAAAATTTGTACATAGAAAATACCAACTACAACAAGAATATTAACAATAACAACTGCTTAGAGTCGTCTCGGTGTTGAATTACACGCAATGTAGTATTCAGAAAGAGAGAAATTTTGAGACATACCTCATGCACTTGGAACTACCGAAGGCGGCCACAATTTTGCAGCATTCGCAGGCGTTGGGCTTCCCAAATTTGCCCAGATAGTGTTCGCATTTTTTGCAGGCACTCTGTGATTTGCTGTGGAAGGGAAATTACAAATTAAAATAGACATACATCCATATAAGGCAATGAAGCTGGAGCACTGGATATAACACTTACGTAGCGGGTTGAAACTCCGATCGGCAGTAAGTACATTTAACAACTGAGGTAGAACCACGGCAGCCCTGCGAGTAGACGAAACGGAAATGTAAGTCAATAATTGAATGCAAAGTCAAATTCAATAATAACAAGTGTTTATGTGTATCGTAAACAATTTTACAAATACTATACAGGCAGTACATATATTAGCACACTGATTGTTTTCATTAGTCACTTATATTAGCTGCGCCTGTTGTTTGGCCATTAGCGCTTCGTTTTGACTTCTTCTTCTTCCGTTGCCAACTTTTCACTTTGTAAATGCGCAGCAGCGGTTTTTCTCAAATAAAGCGACGCGTCATTGCCAAAAAACAAGTCGTTGCTTTTCCACACACAAGCACACACACACACAGTCACTAAATTTATTCGCGCACATTAGGAATGTATTTTTTATTGCATTTAATACAAATATGTGGTATGTATATGTATGTATGAATGTATTTCACACATTATTTTTTCACCTTGCAAAGTTGCTGCCCCGTAGATAAATTTTCGAATGGATGACGCGAAAAGCATTTGGAGCATGCGAATAGTAATTTTGCACTCATTTCAATTATATTTTGTGTGTTGTCTGAGTTTGTTCTTGTGCTGTTGCGTATTTAAATTAAACTAAGTAACTTGTTTGCGCTGCGCTTGCAATAATGAAACACTTCGCAGCCAGCAATAAAGGACGCAGAATGCAAATGGCGACTAGAGATGAGTAAAATAAGCAGTGGTGAAGCTACTTTGTGTTGGGTACTAAACAAGTGACGTGTAATAGAAGTAACGGATACTTTCCTACAAATAATAATAAAATAATTAAATATTAGGACGAGCGACAGGTCAAGATTCAACATACTAAATTATGCATTTGACTTTACTTACTTCTTACTTTAAAAACTAATATTGCTAAAATTTTTGTTAAATTATAGAAATGGACTAAATTATTATGTACGGCGCAACATATCATCAGTTCATTTTTTTTAAAAGTAAATTTCCTTGTTTGCATTGGAGTAACCTATTGTATAGATAACAAAACTTCTACCATACAGTATTCACATTAATGAATAAATGCAATACAATTTCAAATAATCTACAAATCTCAATCACAGTTATCGATGTGGATCAAATATCACGATATGTCTCATCGATGGGCAACGGCTTGTAAGCAACCCTGGCGATACAGTTCAGTTCAATCGAAAAGCGAAAGACGCGCGCAAAGCAAAACAGGGATAATGATGCGCACAGCAAGACAAATAACAGTTCAAACAACAACGCTCGTTTCGTGACTCCAGGCTGTACGAGAAAATTTTTTGTGGGTAGAACTTGAGGATTTGAATGATTTTTTTAGAGAAATTGTTAAGCAAAAAGTGACAAACAGTAGAGAAATTCAAAATATGCCAGCGGAACAAACAAATATTAAGGTTGTGGTTCGTGTACGGCCATACAATAAACGTGAGCAGGAGCAGAATCAAAGATGCATTATCAAAGTGATGGATAGTTCGGCCCTTCTGTTTGATCCTGACGAAGAGGACGACGAATTCTTCTTCCAAGGCTCCAAACAGCAGTACCGTGACATTTCCAAACGTATGAACAAAAAGTTATCTATGGACTTTGATCGTGTTTTCGATACGGAAAATTCCAACCAAGATATATTCACAGAATGCACAGCCCCACTGGTAGATTCGGCACTCAACGGGTAAGTGTTGCGCCTGCGCACACCCGCTCTATTTACCAAATGTTAATGAATGCTTCCTTGCGTAGGTACAACTGTTCGGTGTTTGTTTATGGCGCCACAGGTGCAGGTAAAACGTTTACAATGCTGGGAAGCGACAGTTGTCCCGGCCTTACATTTCTCACAATGCGGGATCTGTTTGAGAAGATTGAGGCCCAACAAGATGTGCGTAAATTTGAAGTGGGCGTCAGTTATTTGGAGGTTTACAATGAGCACGTTATGAATCTGTTAACAAAAACAGGTCCCCTCAAGTTGCGCGAGGACTCTAATGGTGTGGTTGTCAGTGGACTGGTGCTGACTCCTATTCACAGTGCCGAAGAATTGCTACGATTGCTAGAGCTCGGTAATGCGAATCGGACCCAGCATCCTACTGACGCAAATGCGGAAAGCTCACGTTCCCATGCCATCTTTCAAGTTCACATACGCATGACGGATCGAAAAACAGGCACGAAACGCACCGTAAAGCTATCCATGATTGATCTGGCGGGCAGTGAGCGTGCTGCGAGCACCAAGGGGATTGGCATGCGGTTTAAGGAAGGCGCCAGCATCAATAAAAGTCTGTTGGCTTTGGGAAACTGCATAAATAAGTTGGCCGATGGATTGAAACACATACCGTATCGTGATTCCAATTTGACGCGCATTCTCAAGGACTCGTTAGGCGGAAATTGCCGCACATTAATGGTCGCAAATGTATCCATGAGTTCACTCACATACGAGGACACATACAACACACTCAAATATGCGAGTCGAGCCAAGAAAATACGCACAACTCTGCGTCAAAATGTGTTGAAAACGAATATGCCGAAGGAGTTCTATGTGAAGAAAGTTACAGAGGTGATGACGGAGAACGAGCGACTTGTTGAGCGCAACAAACAAATGGAGGCCAAGCTGTTGAAATTTGAACGCGATACCGCTTCCCACAATAATATCGTGAGTTACGATGCCCAGGCATTGAAGCCATGGTATAGCAAGATTGATGCAGTCTATGCGTCGGTGATTAAGACACAGGAATATGCTATTGGCATACGCAGCAGAATTAAGAATCTCAGCTATAGGCAAACAATGAAAAAGGATTTGGAGGAGTATCGCAAGTTACTCTCCCTAGACCAGCGATTGTTTCAGGAGGTGAGTTTTCAGAAATATCGAGTGTTGCTTTTATTTGGAACTCTAAAACATATATGTGTGTGTATAAATGAGTGCTGTAAATTCTCAGTCTTAAGCATCGCCCAAAAGTTCCTTTTGCTTGCTGGCCAACAGCTTGTCTGCTTCGGCAATATATTGGTCAGCTATGGCAGCGATCTGGTTCTGGGCAGCGAATGCGTCATCCTTTCCAATATCCGCCTGTTTCTTAAGCTTCCGTATCTGACTATTCTGTACATCACGTATGGCGTCGCGATATTTGATAAACAAAGCCTTTGCATTTTTGGACAGATTTTCACGATGCTCCTTCGTCACCTTGGGTATGGGTATGAAGAGCGTGGTGCCATCCTGTTGTGGATTTAAGTTCATACCACTCTTCTCCAGTGCCTTGAGGACATCCGGTATGGTTTGTGGAAAGGCAATCATATTGACTATGATGGTTTTTGGATTCTTGCGTGATATTTGCGCCAATTCTTGTAACTCGTGCTCCGTTCCATCGACCTTAATGCGTAACGTGTCTATTGCACCGCTTGTGGAGCGCAACGATAGATGTTTTATGAAGTCGTCCTTCATTTGCTGCACCGACTTTTGCATTTGTGTATTAAGGCTATCCAAATTGATGATTTCGCGCAGTTGCTGCTCATTTATTTCCACTTTTGCCGGCTTTCCTTTGCCACTCTTCTCCTTCTTCTTATCCTTGCCTTTTGCATAACAGCGCGCCTGTTGCAACCAAAGTGCGGCCGTCGCTGTTGTTGTAGGCTGCGCTGCTACTTGTTGTTGCAGCGCCGCGGACACTGTTTTCAATTGCCAAGCACAGGTGCGAACATTTTGCGGCACAATAAATGCCGTTAAATGCCTTAGGTTTTTTGTAAACATTGCAAACTTTAATTTTTTCTGATCGCTGTAAATGCCGCAACAGCTGAGCTCTCATTTGACAGCTGTAAATTGTGCAGTGTTGCCAAGCTGCGCGAATTTTGCAAGCGACCGTTTAAAATGTGAAACTTTGGAATTGGAAATATCTTTGATTTGTTTATGTTAACAGTTGAAACCCCCTTTTTATGTACGACAAAGTGGCATACAAGTACATCTAATTAGAATAAGTATCGAACATATGTACTCATGTGCTGCAGCGTATTGCAAAAAGTTAAATGCTAAGGACAGTCAAGATAAGAAGCTTAAACAATAAAAATGTGTATAAAAGATATTATTTGAAATGAAAATGAATTCGATTTGAACTAAGGACAGTCCAGAAAAGAAGCTTAAACAATAAAAATGTGTATAAAAGATATTATTTTAAATGAAAATGAATTCAATTTGAACTTGAATTTGCTTACAATTCTTATCGACAATAAGTAACTATTTGTTTCTATTTACTTTCAGGACTATGTGCGCTTTCAAAGTTACATAGCAAAGTTGACGACTCAATACGAGCAGCATATAGAAGAATTGCCGCGTTGGCGAACTAAACTACAGGATGCATATAAAGATGTGGAGAAGCTAAAGCGTGAGGTCAGGGGCTCAAAGCATCGTGAAATCTTAAGTATTTATTTGCGCAGCAAAGATCTAGAGGTTCAGTTGTCCAAGCAAAACATAAATAGCAATCATTTGAGCGCGATCAATATGGAATTGAACGAAAATTCGAATCAGCTTCGTAAATCCTATCGAACAGCCTGTGAGGTACTGCATCAGACATATGACAGTCTGCAGGAGACGCAAAAATTGACGCCAGAAATCCAAATGCTATACGAGCGACTGCTACGTAAAGTGCGCTTCACAGAAAATGAACCATCTTCCACATCCACACAGGATGGTGATGTCCTGCTAGCGAGCAAGGAAGAAGACGAGGAAAGAGTTGCAGCTGGCGCTAACTTAAGTGGCATTGCCAAGAAACGCACGCGTTTAAGGTGTAGTACAAGCGGTGACCATTTAGATCTAGAGCTGGACACGGAAAGCTACGAGGACACGGACTCTGATGGTGGTGGTGGTTGCACCGTAGAAGAGGAACAACCATTTAAAAAGCCCCGCAATTTAAACGAAACCCGTGTCATTAACACCGCGACACCTAGTACAGCACCCAAATCGACAACAATTACAAAGTCTCGTAATATTAGTCATCGCCTTGTCGCCGACATTCTCTCCGAACAGAATGTAAGCGGAGTAAAGGACAAGGAAAAGATAAAACAAGGTGGGCTAAAGTTTTCTTAATAACTAAACTAATTTCTAATTCAATATCATATAAATACATATTCTCAATTTTAAATGCAATCACTTTCTCAAGTCATGCCTACTAATATAATATAACCACAAGGTAAAAACGAAAACTATATACATATGTATATTTCCTCACTATGACATTTATGTATTTGAAAGTTTTTTTTAGATGTGAGATCACTCTTACAGAATTTTTAAAACAAGGTTTTTTTATATCATGCTTTAAGCGATGATGGTAGCGCCGAGTCTTATACATGTACTCAGGAACGAACTCTTATTATGGGATTCCTGTTATAACGTTAAACGTTTAGCATATGGTTAAGACAAGTCTAAATATCAAGCTTGGTGTTTCACGGGGTGGACTAGATTCTCAACCCTTCAAGCTTTTGGGTACAAGGTATACAAATGGACTAGGTTCTGATACATTACAGATGCATATCAATTTATCCAACCAATATTTTCAAAGGACAAGCGACTTTTATTCAACTTCTAGCATGGAACTTTATAAAAAGCTGTTAAATCATCGAAAAAAATAAAAGTTTAGAGTTTAGTTTAGAAAAATGTTGTTGAAATTATTTCTGCTCCATAATGCATCTATAATTAATGGTTAAACAATTAATTTACATTATTTCTCTCTGAAACATTGCAGCGCTATTAAAATCCAACAACTTTTCCGCAAACAGTCTTCAACGCACCGTGGCGGCAGCGGCCCTACAGAAGGAAAACCTGAAACACAATTCCAACTATGTGCGCAAGAGTCCGCGAGCACTGATAGCCAAAAGTGAGTATATATGTGGCAATCTACCTTAGTTTGAAACTAATTTGAAAATGTATATTTCCGCAGCACTGTCTGGCACTTCGGCGCTAACACGAAAAGTGACGCCCTCCCGTTTGGCCGGCACAATCGGGTCAGGGGCCATGAAGGAGGCGCCGCTGGTGCGGATTAATCGGGCGGCTTCATTTCGCGTCAAGAAATAAAAATTGAAGTGCGCGCTATTTATTGATATATACATATAATCTGAAGCGTTTGTTTTGGTTTTGATTTTGTGTTACGCATTTGGGGGAACTGAAGAGTTTAAGTTAACCTCTTTACACAAAACAAGTTACGAAACACACAAAATTGCAATTATTTGTATTTAATTTAATTGATTGAGAAATATATTTTTTGTAAGTTTTTGCTTTGAATAAGTTCAGCGACACGCTTTAAAAATATACCGACGTTTCCTTGCCACCATCAACACCATCATCATCAACAATGTGTCTATTATTGCGATAAAAATCATGAGGGTGTGAAGCTGGCCAGGATCGTGGAGGCGTCAGGCCCAAAATTCCGAGCAGCAGATACAATAATGCCCCCAAATTAACGCCAATCATTAGTAAGCCGGGCAAGTTAATCAGCGCTCCCAGAAGGTTTAAGTTGGGGGGCACTGCTGGCTGTGAATTTCCCGGATAGCCGTAGGCCCAACGCCGCCAGGGCTTGCTGATGATTTCTGTATTCTGCTGTGAAAGTTCCGGCTCTCGATTGTTGTAATCCTTGCTCTGTGCCAGCAAGGTATAGCGCGTCTCCATTCCTCCTTTAAGTGGCCAGTTCTTTTGCTCTACGGCAACATCATTGCTTGAATCGGAGCCTGCTCCCACACTGAAGCAAAGTGCTGCACAGATAATAATCAGCCTCATTATTTACGAGTACACAGTTGACTTTGGACCTCCAGCTGCATTGCTTTTATACCTTCATTCCTCTTGACTCAGGCACACGACCGTGACCCTCACTTAGTTAGGCGTTCAGTGATTCTTTTCAGATGTCAGATGTCGACGTTAGCGAACAAACAAGTGTCTATCAATCCAGTAACTACGACAACACAGTAAACATTGAGGTTCAATATGAAGAAAACGCAGTTTATGTATGTACATACATACATATGTACATATATAAATACTGATAGGGGCTTGTTTTGAATCCAATTATGTGAGTGTGGGATCAGTATCTGCCTTGCAATTATCGTTCAACTGCAACAGGTTATGGCAGCTATATTGTTGCAGCTTAAGAATATGCAGGCATGTTCAATCAAAGTGTCCAACAAACTATTGAGTTATTTGGCTCTGCCAGCACTTTTCCAGATCCAATCTTCCATCAATTCAATCAATACGTGCTTATCATATACATACGTGCTTATCATATGCCTGTTTTTGTTATTCCAATTCAATCTCCGATAAAGTGTTGAACGACGTGTTGTAATTTTTCTTAACTAGACTATTTAAACCAATAGGTGTGTATATTATTTCTATACTCTGTACATGAAATGTACAATTCAAATTTTGCAAATACCCCCAGTTAGTGATTATGTGTCCGTATGCCAAGTTTCGTTATGATAGACCGATTTAACAGGAACTTATAGCCATAAATATAATTGCTGCCCAAGCGCTGTCCGCAGCTGTTGTTGCTTTGGTTGACTGCAAACATGCTCACACAGACACGAATAGACATGCATACACTCACATAGACGCAATTTCTTTGTTAATGTGCAATTAGGCGAAGGGCAGGAACCACTTGGCTAATCCATAATTTCTGAAAGCATTTCGAAATGAGCGATCGTTGGATAAAATGACTCTCTTAAAGACGATTTATATATTATAAAATGTACTTTTGTATATATGTACATATATGTACATAATTTTGCGCATTTCTACGCCTTCTACTAACAAATACCCGTACCACGCATTCACCCGTCATATGCTGATTGTATAAATGTATGTATATTTGCTTTAAGGTACAATTTATATGAAACTGTTATTGTCTGATCTGATACAGTTATATGAATAAGTTTTGTTCAATTAAGGCGCTGCGCTTTAAGCACCACTACGGGCACCTCGATGTCCCTCTTGCTTTGTATTAGTTTCAATTCGCGATCGAATGCACTCGCAGCTGCGCCCTCTTTTGGAAGGGCACTTACTGTATGTTTAATGACGGCCTGGAGTGTTGCTATTGTTTTCTCAAAGGCATCTATGATATTGTCATTTTTGTAGCTATGGGCAAGGAATAACGATGCAAATAGATCGCCAGTGCCAGTGAATATTAGATCTTTGCCACCCTGCTTGGGTATATCGATGGCTGAGCGTGGCCCGTTCTTTTGGCTCAGGAATGCGCGCAGTATACCCGGTTGACCAATATCGGAGCTAGATATGACCACCGTGTTTATGTTGCGACTATGAAACCAATCCATAGCACTCCATACATCTGCCTCGGTTTTCACTTGCCTTTCGGTAATCAGCTCCACTTCGTATTGGTTGGGCGTTATGATATCGGCCAATGGTATAATTTCATCACGATATATGGGCAGTAACTCTTTGGGCACATACAAGCTGCCATTGTCACCCATGACTGGATCGCAAACATAGATCAGATTCGGATTCGCCGCACGTAACTTTTTCACTATCACGGCACACTGACGCAAAAAGAGTGCATTTCCAATATATCCGGTCAGCAAATGGCTGTAGTGTGGCAAGATACTATTGTCCTCGAGGGCACCAAAAATGGTTGCTGTAATTTGTGAAATTATTAATGATGTGTAAAGTACCGCATAGAATATAATGTCAATATATATATAATATATATAATGTCACACACCCAGCTCTTTTTCATTCGAAACGGGCCCTTTGAAACATGGATAGCCCGTGTGGTTGGAGAACTGTACGGAATTCAGGGGATCTACATCGAATCCAAGTAGCTACAAATAATTTACAAACAAAAAATGGATGTACATATGTATGTATAGACGTACTTATGTATGTATATATTATATGCACCTGTAATGGAAATGTGGCGACCTTGTTGCCGACATATCCATGCACCACATGACTCTGAATGGAGAGCACGCGTTTGAGTTTGCTGTCTGTTGCCATATTGCTTAGTTTATATTTATTTATAAAAATGCAATTGTTTTAATTAAATGCGCTGCTGCAACCGGTTCAACGTATTGTTGGCGACTAAGCTCGCATGACTTCTTTCTGTACAATATGCTAGATAGTCAATGTTATTATCACTTACACTTGGGTTGGCAGCAATATAAATATAGATTACTGATAAGTACCGGCGCGCAATAAACAACAATATAAGATGTAGACATGTAAACACAACAGCAAGAGTCTGGAGTGATAACTTTTTAGGGATTTACTTGGGCCAATAAAGTCATGACCTTGGTGCCAATTTAAGCCATTTGCATAAGCTAGACTCTTTTAATTAACTAACTACCCCACTCTTTCTCTCTTTTTACTTTTTTCAAAACAATATCAGCACAAATGAGATCTCTGTGTATTCGGCATCGATACTTTGGTGCATACGAACAGCTGTTTATTCTTCATTTATTTCATATCATGGTGAATGGCACATTTGTAGTTGCGCATGGTTTACGTAAAAGCCTCGGTATTTCACATGTTTTAAATAAAAAGTCCTTCCAATTTAAGAAATACATAGATTTTAAATCCAAAAAGTGTGACTACAACAATGTCTGCAAATTTGACGCGTTGGTTGGAGCGCAGTTTACATAATTGCCATGCGACTCAAAGTAGAACCGCTTTGCGACTATTTAGTGGGCAGCAGCAACAGCAACAACAACAGCAGCAAGAGGTGGAAGAGGATGAAGGTAAGCATTAAGGGTAGAACTTTGTGTAGTTTTAAAAGTTCACGGATTTCAGAATTTCGAGTGCTGAACTTGCGTGCTGTCAAGAAACAGGTTGCTGCGAGACGTGAGATAAAGCGAGACCCTGTTCCACCACCGCGAAGCAATCGCATGGCTGTGGATCAGGATTGGACAGCGGCATGGCCCGGACCACGTTCATTTCACCCAGCCAGCGTTCCACTGCCCTTACGCCAGGGCTACACGGAACGCGGTGCTGCTGCCCCTTCGAAATTTGCTAATGCGGAGTTGATGAAAATACCAAATTTTTTGCATCTAACCCCGCCGGCTATACGTCAGCAATGCGAGGCAATTAAACAATTTTGCACACCTTGGCCAAAGGGCCTAGAGACGGAGGAAAAGTGCAAGCATCATTTTCCTGTGGAGGTCGTCACAACAGACTTCTGTCACAGTTTGCCCACAATACGTAATCCGGAGGCACGTCGCGTTACAGTTTCGCTTAAGCTCTCCGAATTAAAGTTCGATGCACATGCAAAAGATAAGTTTCTGCGACTTGTGGGCGAGCGTTACAATCAGGAGACAGACGTATTAACCATTGTGGCAGATCGGTGCCCAATGCGCAAACAGAACTATGATTATGCCTTGTACTTGCTGACGGCTTGCTATCATGAGTCCTTCATAACTGAACCCTGGGAGGAAACCAAATCCGAGGCAGATATGGAAGTGTATCACTTTGAACGCAACAAGGCCAAGCTTTCGGCCGAGGCCATACTCAACTGGAACGAGGCGGCAGGTGAGACTAAAGTGGCGCCGAGTCAAGGCTATGCGAAATCTGTGGAACAATTAATAAACGAGGGCGAAAACGAGTATAATATAGCGAAATATAAGAAGGAAGTGTTGAAAATGCTTAACATACCCGTAGCCAATTAAGAACTTTTGTAAAACCCAGTTTCTTTATGTTTGTTAAATAAATGAAAATAAATCACAAAGACCGGTAATTTGATTCGGACATTGGCAGCACTGTCGCATGCGTTACATTGTGAATGCCATCAGAATTAGTAGCAATCCCTTTTAGAAGACTGATTAGTAAACGTGGATACAAAATTACCTGTTTACATCAATAATATACAAACATTAATGTTTCAAATTTAAACAATTTTATCACATTAATTTAAGGCAATAATTCTGGTGCCTGAAAATTTAGTTCTTAAGAAAAAGGTAAGAACTTGACCAGCAACTGACAGTTAATACTATTTACTGATAACGATTTGCCGCTGTTGCTGAAGTTCTTAATGAAGTTTTCGCTAAACAAATACAAATCTACATATGTACATACATACATATGTATGCATATAAATCATATGTTCTAGATAGATTTGTTATAATTTGTTTGTGCTCTATAAGTATCATTAAATTTTTCTTGTTAGCTTCAAGTCGTCGTATAATGGACTTTTTTTTTAGCATTGGTACCGGATATTTAATTTCTTGCAGTTAAACGAAAAAATGTTTCTTTGCCGAGACGTCTTTTATCTGAACTTCACAGCAACAACAGCAATGTCGCTTATCAGTAAAATGTGCTGTCTACTTTAGTCATTGTACATGTACATGACTTTCTTGAATATTTCCGTGCTGATTTCAGGCACGCACACGTTTCAGTTCACTTCTGCATTTGAAGAGACCAGCAAGCAAGCAAGCAAGCTAAGCACACTAAGCAACTAAGCGCCTAAGCAGCTGAGTTAACACAGCCGCGTTGGCACACATATTCCATTGATGAAGGTAATGCGAAGCAATCCATAACCAAACCAGCGAAGCAAACAATACGCTCATGCAGCTGGAATAACTAGCACGCACTAGACACGTTGGCAATGAGGAGATAGTGTCGCTGAATGGAATTACGAAGTCAATAGCAAAAATGCGTCGTCCAAATTTTAAGTGGATTGTGAAGACGACATTTCTGTTGCTCTTATCACTGGTTCTGTTCCTTCTAATCACTAGTTGGATATCGTCGACTCCATACACAAACAGACCCGTTCATCATGGAATACAACCGGAACCGGCCGAACAGCGTCAAAGATTGAATAATGATAAAATTGACCAACAACGTGATAATTTTCCTTTAATTGAACCGCAAGCGGACGCACTGAATGCTGTACGGCCTGACTTGCAGGCCGAGCCGAATATAGATGATCAGGTGAATGCCATTGACGACGGCAGCGATGAGGAAGACGAGGATGTCAATGCCAATCGGCCGGACAATGATATTGATCAGCAGCAGCCGCCGGAGGAATTGAATGTTCCTCAATTAGATGCACCCAATGAGCAAAAAAAGGATTGGCATGACTATACGGCCATGGAGCGGGATGCGAAACGTGTAGGTATTGGTGAGCAAGGTAAAGCAGAAAAATTGGATGAATCCACACAGGAATTGGAGCGAAAAATGTCTTTGGAAAATGGGTTCAATGCATTACTCTCCGATTCTATTTCGGTGAACCGTTCAGTGCCTGATATAAGACACAAGGGGTGAGAATGAAACTAGTTATAATTAAGAATCGAAATCTTACCTATCCTATCCATTTTATAGTTGTCAGAAAAAGTTGTATCTGAGTAATCTGCCAACGGTGAGCGTCATTTTCATATTCTGGAACGAGTACATGAGCGTCTTAATGCGTTCCGTGCATAGTTTAATAAATCGGTCACCACCCGAATTACTTAAAGAGATTATACTTGTGGACGACTTCAGTGATCGTGATTATCTTAAAAAGCCATTAGAGGACTATATCGTCGAGCACTTTAAAAATGTTCGCGTTTTAAGATTGCCGCGTCGCACAGGCCTGATAGGGGCACGGTCTGCGGGTGCACGGAATGCTACCGCCGAAGTTCTTATCTTTCTGGACTCTCACGTCGAGGCTAATTATAACTGGTTGCCACCATTGTTGGAACCCATAGCTCGGAACAAGCGAACCGCCGTGTGTCCCTTCATTGACGTCATCGATCACAAAACGTTTCAATATCGAGCACAGGACGAGGGGCAACGTGGTGCTTTTGACTGGCAATTCTTCTACAAACGTTTGCCTTTATTGCCAGAGGATTTGAAGCATCCGACCGAACCGTTTAAGAGTCCAATTATGGCTGGTGGACTGTTTGCCATATCTGCGGAGTTCTTTTGGGAGTTAGGCGGCTATGATGAGGGATTGGATATTTGGGGAGGAGAACAATATGAATTGAGTTTCAAGATTTGGATGTGTGGCGGAGAGATGTATGATGCACCGTGCTCGCGTATTGCTCACATCTATCGGGGACCCCGAAATCACATGCCCAGTCCTCGCAAGGGTAATTATCTGCAAAAGGTACGTAAAGTATAAAAAATTGTAAATCTAGTTTTGAAAGCTATTTAAAATGAGCTGAAGATTGGGCATAGTATAAAATTGATTCGTTTTATATGTATATGTACATATTTTAATTTCCTTTTAGAATTACAAACGTGTTGCCGAGGTTTGGATGGATGATTACAAGAAATATCTTTACGATCACGCCGATGGCGCATATGATAAAATCAATCCCGGCGATCTCACTGAGCAGAAAGCTGTGCGTTCCAGACTGAAATGTAAATCTTTTAAATGGTTTTTGGATAACGTGGCCTTTGATCTAATGAAGACATATCCACCTATTGAACCGCCAGACTATGCTAGTGGTGCAATACAAAATATTGGCGATATAAGCATGTGGTATGGAATACCTGGAATTAATTTCACAATAAATAGCACATTAAATATTTTCCTTTTTTGTACATAGCGTGGATACTCTTTCACGTAAGCGCCACAATCGTGTTGGCCTCTATCCCTGTGCCGACAATTTAGAGCGACCACAGCGTACGCAGTACTGGGCGCTTAGTTGGCATCGGGACTTGCGGCTGCGTCGTCAAAAGGATTGCCTCGATGTTCAGATATGGGAGGCCAATGCACCGGTTTGGCTGTGGGACTGTCACAATCAAGGAGGCAATCAGTATTGGTATTACGATTACGATGCCAAGCTGCTAAAACACGGCAAGGAGGGGAAACGCTGCCTCGAAATGCTGCCGCACAACAAGGAGCTGGTCGTCAATCAGTGCAATAACAATAATAAATATATGCAGTGGAATTTTGGCTTTTTCAATCGCACAGCGCTTCGGAACTATAATAAGGATTTGGTATTAAAGATTTAGTTGTTGGAATTTTTTTCACTTGCCATGTACTTAAATTGTCAATGCGGGCAGTTGTTGTGAGACCATGTTGTATTTATCGTTGTAAATATTTCACAATTGATAGTAAGGAACGTTAGTTAGGAAAAAACGTAGGGGCCCAATTTATTAAATGATGCGCAGGCCAAAATGCACATTCCAATTGCCAATTAAAAATACATACTTATACATATGTAGCCGCATTAATTAATTTTAGCAGTCTAAAATATAAAATGCATTTATTTACAACCAACCAATATTTGTTTCATTTCTATCCTTAAAATAAATTTGTATTCTGTATACGAAGCCGTGTTTTTAAAGCACGATGAAGTTCAAATCAACAGCAATACTATTCATACATCTATATTTTAAGAATGAGACACAACAATACTAGTTTCTTTTAAACACTTTTAGTGAGAACTTCGATTTTCGGTACATAAAGCGATACCATTAGTTTAGAAATACTTACATCCATATTCCGATGTACGGATGATTAAAATGCATGTATGCATGTATGTTAAAGTGCGAAGCATGTATTATTGAAATTAGATATGGCGTGGGGGTCTTACAAATTAAATTAAGTTAATATTTGTCGTGTTTTAGATCGATAGATTAATAGCTAATAAACATTTGAAAATACCTTTTTCTGCACCAGGATAAGGCAGCAGGATCTGGGTGAAGCCGCAACTCTCCTAGAGATAAAAACCGAAAGAAACTTTTAAAGCTGAGCTGTTCTTCACATCTAGGAGAACACGCAGAGGATTAAAGGAGGTGAACAGGATCAGGTGAGATACTTTGATAGTATTATCAGTTCTAAACTACCTGAATATAGCTCTAATTGTAGAGGTAACGACAAAAAATAATTTAAAAATTTATGTACAAGGTTAGATATTCAAGTGCTTTGTTGCTTCTCTAAACATTATTATACTGTCTTACTTTCGAATAAGGAGTTGGTATACACATATATCCAAATGAAATAGAGGGTTGGCCTAGCACCAACTAGAAGTGGTCGAAACGGTGATATACGAACCCTATATTTGTGAACTTGAAATATCAGTTGGTTTTATAATAACGTATTTTTCATCTTGTTAATTCGTATCTCATTAAGTGCAAAAGAAGATGATTAAAAATTAAATACAAGTTAATTCTCTCGAAATTCGAATTAACTCTTTTCTAGGGCAACAAAACGATATCACATCAACTGTGAAATTAGACTCTGATGCCATAATCGCGTTACCGATAGCATACTTATGCCTATTAAGCCTCGTTCTAATAAGTCAATAGCCAGATAACAAAATGCTTCCGCAGCATTCAAATCCGCATTTAAAGCTTTCATTTGTTGTGTTTATTATTCTCAATGTGCCGATGGTGATAATACTTAATGCCAACTGGAAATCGTTCATTCGTACTGATATAGACTGGGGTTCATCAGTAAAGCCATATGGCATGGCAGGAGACATTCTGACAACATTTTCACAACCCGTTGCATCTGACAAAAACACTAGTGTTCATGACACTGAACCGGGGCAGTTATCTATTGGAGAAAAGAAGGACTGGCACGATTATAAGGCCATGGAACGCGATGCCAAGCGTGTGGGAATTGGTGAGCACGCCAGGCCGGCGAAGCTGAATATTTCGACTCTCGGTCTGCAGCGTAAATTGTATGCCAGAAACGTATTCAATGCACTGCTCTCCGATTATATATCGGTGAATCGTTCATTGCCGGACGTAAGGCATAAGAAGTAAGTTTCATGTGATCCTACGAAGGTTGCCATTTATATTTCGACAATAACTACACCATCAGAAGTGTACATTCGTGTTTCTTTTAAAAAGGAGTTTTTCTTAATGTGGACAAGTGAATTTAAACATCGTTGTGTTTATTTTATTTCTGAAATATAAAAGGCGTCCCTCGTGTCAAAGCTAACCTCAAAGTCAAACTTAATCGTTCGCATTTCGCAGATGTAAAAAAAAACTATACTTGAAGAAGCTGCCAATGGTGAGCATTATTGTCATTTTCTACAACGAGCACAAAAGTATTCTCCTTCGGTCCGTGCACAGTTTAGTTAATCGCTCACCGCCCGAGCTAGTAAAGGAAGTAATTCTTGTGGACGACTTTAGCGAACTCGAATCGCTGCACGATTCTTTGGACAACTACGTAGCCCAACACTTTACGAACGTTCGAATATTGCGTCTGAAGAAGCCTTCGGGCCTGATTAGCGCACGCTTGGCAGGAGCACGTAATGCTACCGCCGAGGTTTTAATCTTTATGGACTCACACGTCGAGGCCGGATATAATTGGCTGCCACCACTGTTGGAACCTATTGCGTTGAATAGTAGGACAGTAATGTGCCCTACTATTGATTATATAGAGGGGTCAACTTTTACTTATGGAAAATATGATGAGGGGCGTCTTGGGGGTTTCTCAAATGATTTTGGGTATGCAAAAATTAAAAGGCCGCGTGAACATGTGAAGCATGTTTGGGAGCCATTCAAAAATCCAGTCATGATGGGTGGATCTCTAGCTATATCTGCGAAGTTTTTTTGGGAACTGGGTGGCTACGATGAAGGTCTTTTAGTTTACGGAGCTGAACAATTCGAGCTAAGTTTCAAGATATGGATGTGTGGAGGCGAGCTATACGAAGTACCTTGTTCCCGTGTTGCTCACATAAGTCGTGATTCGCATTTGCATCTCTATAAGCGGAAAAACTCACCGAGCTCTGTTTATAACTACTTGTATAAGGTAAATAGGGAGAATCTGGAGTAGTTTATGTTTGTATGCTCTTACAGCTTACGTTTAATACTAAATTTTCAGAATAATAAACGCGTGGTCGAGGTATGGATGGATGATTACAAGAAGTTTTTGTATCAACGACATAAGGAATATATAGGTATTGATCCCGGTGATCTCACCAAACAGAGAGCATTGCGGTCTAAATTAAAATGCAAATCTTTCAAGTGGTATTTGAAAAACGTGGCTTTCGATGTTGTTAATAGATACCCCCCTTTTGAGCCGCTCGATTATGCTCATGGTGTCATACAAAATCTTGGAAATCCAGAATTGTGGTATGGTATATTTGTTTTTTATATTGGTTAGTAATTTGACATATACGATTATTTGATTATTTAGCGTGGACTCGCGCACAAAGCCTGTTGGCGTGAAAGAATGTGATGGGAATTTGGAGCATCCACGGCGTTCACAATTCTGGGCACTTACCTGGCGTCGGGACTTGCGCTTAAAAGCCGTAAGACGTGCCTGTATCGATCCTAACACGTTCGAAACTAGGGCACCACTTTGGATAACTCTTTGCCATACCCAAGGTGGAAACCAGTATTGGTTCTACGACCACAGAGCCAAGCTATTAAAGCAAGGACAGCATAACCAACGCTGTCTCGAGTTGTTGCCGCAAAGCAAGGAGCTGATCATCAATAAGTGCAACAATACCAATATATATATGCACTGGCATTTTGGGTTTATTAACCGGACTGCACTTGATAATTACAATATTAACTATAAATTTACGGATTTTTAAGTAGTATTCCATCATCATCAAGCAGGTTCAACTCTTAAATATCCTGTTCCACCACACAAAAAAAAATTATTAAAAAATTTAATTAATTAATAAAATAAAATAAACAAGAAAGGAATGCTAAAGTCGAGCAGGCTCAACTCTTAAATACCCTGTACCACCCCACAAAAAAGTAATTAAATTAATTAATTAATTAAATTTAATTAATTAACTAAATTAATTTAATTAATTAACTAAATTAAATATAAAATATTCCATGCATGCATACATACATTTACATTTACATCAGAATCGTGCCTTATGCGTGTTTGTGTACTTGTACATATGTATGTATGTGTGCATTGGGCCTGGTTATATGGCTATAACTTTCTTTCCGATCATTCTATCATAATGAGACTTGGTATACGGTTATATAATAACTAACCTAATGTGACTACCAAATTTTAGTTCAAAATTCCAAGAATTACGGAAGTTATAGAAAATCGTTAATAGGGGGGGAGTGGGGGGGTGGATCAGAAAAAATGAACAAACTCGTCCTTTCTCGGTCTCAGGAGAATCTGTATACCAAGTTTGGTTATTCTAGCTCTTATACTTTCGGAGATCCTTGCGTTCATACAGACAGACAGACGGACAGACGGACAGACAGACGGACAGACAGACGGACAGACGGACATGGCTATATCGACTCGGCTTGTCATGCTGATCAAGAATATATATACTTTGTGGGGTCTACCAAGCCTCCTTCTGTGTGTTCCATGTGCACTCGCACAAAACTAATATACCCTTGTACCCTTTTGGGTACAGGGTATAAAAATATTCCATATATGCATACATACATTTATATTTACACCGCAATCGTGTCTATGCGTGTCTGTGTACTTGCACATATGTACGTATGTGTGCATTGGGCCTGGTTATATGGCTATAACTTCTTTCTTTCTAATCAACCTATCATAATAAAACTTGGGATACGGATATACAAATATAATCACTAACGGGGTGTGACTACCAAATTTTGAAAATTCCAAGAATAACGGGAGTTATAAAAAAACGCGAATAGCGGGGAAGTGGGGGGTGCATCGGGAAAAATGAAAAAACTTGCCCTTTATCGGGCGTAGGAGAATCTGGATACTAAGTTTGGTTATTCTAGCTCTTATACTTTCTGAGATCCTTGCGTTCATACATGCAGACAAACAGGCGGACAGATGGACGGACACGGCTATGTCGACTCGGCTTGTCATCCTGATCAAGAATATATATACTTTGTGGGGTCTGCCACCCCTCCTTCTGTGTGCTACATGTACACTCGCACAAAACTAATATACCCTTTGAGTACAGGGTATAAAAATCCTCAAGCAATTGTTTCTTTGAAAGCAATGTGATATGCATTCCTTATATTCTGCATGGAAATATTATCTGTGTTCTTTTGATGGACAATTTGAATGAACTCAGGGATTCCCTTTTAATTCTTGAAATCTCTTGGGCTTATTTCGTTTCTGAGCTCGCTAGGGATTTAATATTTTACTTATTGATTATTTCTAGCTGATTGTTAGCAGCTAGAAAAAATGCATAGTGAGTATGGGTGTATTCACGAACAAGTAGGGCCAAATCAGCCGTGAACTAAATTGGATACGCTATTGTACTACATCTAAAACCTATAGAATATTTGATGAAAAAATACTTATTTGTTAAAGTGGACAGCCAATAAGAAAATGCCGAAGTCCAAGTGCTTAGTAGACTTATGGCTCATTTTAAATATTTTCGTGTTGATTGGGATTTTCCTATATTGGAAATCGTTTGTATATAATTCCCCATATGGGAAGGCTAAAAAAAGTTCGATCATTTTATCGGAGAACAATGAATTGCAACCTTTAGAAATGGATTCTCCAATGAACAGAGGAAGGAAGGAAGGCAATGGAGCGAGATGCCAAGCGTGAGGGCGTTGGTGAGAACGGCACGAGCGCAGAGCTGGATAGTTCGAATGAAGATTTGGAAGACACTCTGTATGCGAGAAATAAATTGAATGCGCTTCTCTCCGATTATATATCGGTCTAAGGAGTAAGCTATCGTATGCGATGCTGCAACATTCATTATGCAACTAAAATAATGTCATTCGACTTTCGACAGATGCATACAGAAGCTATACCTTAACAAGAAAGGAATGCTAAAGTCGAGCAGGCTCAACTCTCAAATACCCTGTACCACCCCACAAAAAAGAAATTAAATTAATTAAATAAATAAATTAATTAAATTAAATAAAATTAATTTAATTAATTAACTAAATTAAATATAAAATATGGTTTCTTAGCATGGGCTTGCGCAGAGCGCGTTTTGGCGTGTATGACTGTGCTGGGAATTTGGAGCATCCACATGGTTCGCAATTCTGGGCACTTACCTGGCATCGGGACTTGCGCTTAAACAGGCGTAACATGTGTCTCGCTCCAAAAACGTCGACAGAAAAGGCACCAGTTTGGTTATGGAAATGTAATTTTGGCCGTAATTAGTATTGGTTCTACGATTAAAGCAACGAAAGCATAACCAACGCTGCCTCGAGATGGTGCCGCAGAGCAAGGAGCTGATCCTCAATAAGTGCAATAAGAAGAATATATATATGCACTGGCATTTTGGGTTTATTAACCGGACTGCACTCGACAATTACAATAGGGACTATGATTTAACGAATATATAAGGTTGTGTTTTCTTATATTACCGTAACGTGAGAAATATTCTATCATCTAATAATGTATTTGGAAATTGTGTGTACAGTCTGTCGTAGGTTCAAGATAGAATATATTGAATATCAGTGGGAAAATCAATTGGAAATATAGTAATCTATAGTAAGTAGATTTCTTATAATTTGGTCACAAAGTAGATCGCAAAATTAAAACAAGTTGCAACGTTATCTTCGTGTGCGTTCATACAAATATGTTCAAATCAATCGGTTTATCTATACTTAATATTATAAAGAGGAAAGATTTGATTGTTTGTTTGTTTATGTGTTTGTTTGTTTGAATTGAAAAGGCTCCAAATGTACTGGACCGATTTAAAAAAGCTAAAGTCGGGTGTCCCGACTTTGAAATACTCTGTACATATGTTTAAAATAATTATAGAAATTTAAAAAATTTAATTTAAAAATTTAATGGATTCCTTTACTGTTGGGAAGCTACACTATCGACGGTTAACATGGGCTATATTATATTTGCAAAAAGAATGGAATCCTTACTAAAACGCTAATAATGTAACCAAAGGTGTAAAAATATGACCTTGAAAAACTCATGAATAGCATGTTAGTTCATAATCATCCTCGAAATATTTTCAATTTAAATATTAAGGCAAAATTACTCAACAGCTCCCAGCTAAATAAAAAACAAGTAAAAAAGCTAAAGCAAAAGTTAGAGAAAATCGCAATTGCGGGGGAGAGGGGGGAGGGAGGGTTATTCCAAAATATACATTTTCTGCGTGTTCACAGAAGGCATCTTGTACTAAAATTTGGTGTTCCTAGGTCTTATAGTCTCCGAGATATAGGTGATTATACGAATGGAAAATCGGGAAAACCCCCATAGGGGGGAAGTGGGGGGGGAAATCAAAAAAATAAAACAAACTCGTATAGCGTACACACATAAGGCATCTTTGTGCAAAATTTGGTGTCTCTAGCTCTTATAGTCTTTGAGATCTAGGTGATCATACGGACGGACGGACGGACGGACAGACAGACAGACAGATCGACATACGAAAGCAATGTTTTACTGTATGTTGGCTCCTGAAAATCAATTTATTTTGCTACCACAAAATAAAACATCAAATATCTTTTACAGAGAACCTCTGACCTAATAGAGAACAAGTAAAAAAGCTAAAGTCGGGTGTCCCGACTTTGAAATACTCTGTACATATGTTTACAATAATTATAGAAAATAAAAAAAAATAAGAAAATAAAAAAAAAATTTGATCGATTTTACCTCTCTCGGTATTCGAACTCACGTAAAGGGTGTATAATTGCACATTTACATAGCAATTGCGTCTGTGTGAGTGTATGTATGCCTATGCGCATCAATTCGTGTCTGTGTAAGCATTTTCGCAGTCAACCAAACAGCAACATCAACAACAGCCGCGGGCAGCGCTTGAGCAGCGCTGCAGCAGCGCTGCAGCAGCAAATATATTTATAGCTATAACTTCTTGGTAAATCGGTCTATCATAATGAAACTTGGCATACGGACACATAATAACTAACTGGGGGTATTTCCAAAATTTTAGTTCGAAATTCCAAGAATTACGGGAGTTAGAGAAAATCGCATTTGCGGGGGAGAGGGGGGAGGGAGGGAAATTCCAAAATATACATTTTCTGCGTATTCACACAAGGCATCTTGGACTACAATTTGGTGTGCCTAGGTTTTATAGTCTCCGAGATATAGGCGATTATACGAATGGAAAATCGGGAAAACCCCCATAGGGGGGAAGTGGGGGGGAAAATCAAAAAAATAAAACAAACTCGTATAGAATATACACATAACGCATCTTCGTGCAAAATTTGGTGTCTCTATCTCTTATAGTCTCTGAGATCCAGGTGTTCATACGGACGGACAGACGGACAGACGGACAGACAGACAGACAGGGCTAGATCGACTCGTCTTGTCACGCTGATCAATAATATATATACTTTGTGGGGTCTGCCACGCCTCCTTCTGCCTGTTACATTTTTCAGCTCCCGCAAACCTAATATACTCTTGTACATTTCATGTACAGAGTATAATAACAAAAAAATCTAAAAACGAACAAAAAATCATTAAAATAATAATATTCAAAATAAATGTTACTCCTTCTTAGTAACTCATACCAAAAAGAATGGTGTATGTGTGTTATAAAATGTATACTTTTTAAAATGTTGGTAAAAATACCCGTGCGAAGCAGGGGCAGGACGCTAGTACAATATACGAGTATAATGATACTATTACGTTTCGTCTACCATTCTTCTTTCTAATAGAGGAGAAAGGAGGAAGATTCTAGCGAGGTATTAATTAAAACTTAAAAATGACTATTTAATTGTAATAATTGTAAGAATTTCTCATAATTTTAAATCTAATTGATATATAAATTTCTAATTTTTCCAAAAAATTAGTTACTATCGTAACAATTTCACTTCAGTACTACAAGTATGCCCAAAAACTGCGGGAAGGGGTTCGCTCTTCTTCATCTTCTTTCATATAACTCAGCGCTGAAAGTTTGTTTGAGTACAGGGTGTTTCGCTGTTGGGTTCGCTCGACTGCAGCATTCTCTCTTGTTTATTTTGTGGGCGTGGGTGTAGGGTATTTAAGAGTTGAATTTAGCATTTATTTCTTGTTTTTCTCATAGCTTAGTTAGGAACTAGAATAAATAATGAATACATTGGTTCACGCAACTCGGCTAGCAATTAAGGCTAAATCAGCCGTAAACGAAATCGGATACGCTATAGTACTACAGCTTAAACCTATGGAATATTTGAAGAGAAACTACTTATTAGTGAAAAAGTGAATTACCAATAAGAAAAATGCCGATGCCCAAATGCTTAGTAAAGTTGTGGTTGATCTTAAATGTTTTCGTAGTGATTGGGATTCTACTAGTAATTTATTGGAATTCGAGTTTATATATTTCCCCATACGGGAACAATAAATTTCAACCTTTAAAAATGGATTCATCCAATGAACAGAGGAAGGACTGGCACGACTATAAGGCAATGGAGCGAGATGCCAAGCGTGAGGGCGTTGGTGAGAACGGCACGCGCGCTAAGCTGGATGGTTCGACTCGAGATTTGGAAAACAAACTGTTTGCGAAAAATATATTTAATGCGCTTCTCTCCGATTATATATCGGTGAATCGTTCGGTGCCCGATATAAGGCCTAAGGAGTAAGCTATCGTATGCGATGCTGCAACATTCATTATTCAACTAAAATAATATCATTCGACTTTCGACAGATGCAAAAAGAAGCTATACCTTAAAAAGCTGCCACTAGTGAGCATCATTATATGTTTTTTCAATGAGCACAGAAGCGTTCTCCTCCGGTCTGTCCATAGCTTAGTAAATCGCACGCCCCCCGAGCTACTTAAGGAGATAATTCTTGTGGACGACTTCAGCGATCTTGAAGCTCTGCACGAATCATTGGATGAGTACGTAGCCCTACACTTTAAGAAGGTACGAGTTTTGCGCCTCGCTCAACGAGCTGGCCTGATTCGGGCACGCATGGAAGGGGCACGTAATGCTACCGCTGAGGTTTTAGTCTTTATGGACTCTCATGTCGAGGCCGGATATAATTGGCTGCCACCACTCTTGGAACCGATTGCCCTGAATAATAGGACAGTAATTTGTCCTATTATTGATAGAATTTTTTACCATACGTTCCGTTATAAACGGGTTTTTGGCGTCCGCGGTGGTTTTATGTGGGATCTATACTATACAAATGTGCCAAGACTACCCGAAGATATGAAGTTCCCATGGAAACCATTCAAAAACCCTATGATGATGGGTGGAATATTCGCCATATTTTCGAATTACTTTTGGGAACTGGGAGGCTACGATGAGGGCCTCGATATTTATGGAGGTGAACAGTTCGAGTTAAGTTTTAAGATTTGGATGTGTGGAGGCGAAATATATGATGCACCGTGTTCTCGTGTGGGACACATCCAACGGGTTCCCCATTTGCATCTGTATAAGCGGAACAACTCACCGAGCTCTCAAAAGGACTTTTTACATAAGGTTAATAGGGAGAATCTGGAGTAGTTTGTGTTTGTATGCTCTTACAGCTGACGTTTAATACTAAATTTTCAGAACTATAAACGTGTGGCTGAAGTATGGATGGATGATTACAAGAAGTATTTGTATCAGCGAAACAAAACAGTATATGACAGAATTGATCCCGGTGATCTCACCAAACAGAGAGCATTGCGATCTAAATTAAAATGCAATTCCTTCAGGTGGTACTTGCATAATGTGGCTTTCGATGTTGTTAATAGATACCCCCCTATTGAGCCGCCCGATTATGCTCATGGTGTCATACAAAATCTTGGAAATCCAAAATTGTGGTATGGCATATTTGTTGAGTATTGAATAGAATATTTACACACATATATGATTATTTAGCGTTTTTAGCGTGGACTTCCGCACAAAGCCTGTTGGCCTTAATAACTGTGATGGGAACTTGGAGCATCCACATTATTCACAATATTGGAAACTTACCTGGCATCGGGATTTGCGCTTGAGAGGCAATAACCGCTGCCTCGATCCTAAAACGTCGAAAAATAATGAACCACTTTGGTTATGGGAATGTCATTTTGATGGGGGTAATCAATATTGGTTTTACGATTACAGAGCCAAGCTATTAAAGCAAGGAAAGCATAACCAACGCTGCCTCGAGATGGTGCCGCACAGCAATAAGCTGATCCTCAATAAGTGCAACAATACCAATATATATATGCACTGGCATTTTGGGTTTATTAACCGGACTGCACTCGACAATTACAATAGGGACTATGATTTTACGAATATATAATGTTGTGTTTTCTAATATTACCTTGAGCAGGAATTATACTAATTAAACGTAATTGAAAACTGTATAGAAGTGGAAAAGCTGTCGTACATTTGCAACTGCTTAAGAAAAGTATGAGTAAAAAATGTGTTTGTGTTGTTGTTGAATTTATCTTTTTGTAGCTTATCGTATAATAAAAATCGAAGGAACTTCCACGAATACAGATAAGTTCCTTTGCTGATATAGCTCTGAAAAATTGTGTGATCATTATTTAAATAGGTTTCAAAGTTAGTAGATAATGAGTATGAACATAGGTTACTTTTAAGTTGGTCACATACAAGTAGTACGTCGCCCTACAAAAAAGGAATAAAAAGTGATATATCAGTGCGCCGGAGCTATGTACTATTTACCCCCTAACTGTATCTTACAACAAAACATTGTCAGTTTTTTACTCATGTTACATGTCTCTAGAAATAAACAAGGTATTTTAAAGGTATGAAAGCTGTATATGGTGATTAAATACCGACTATGTATGGACAAAGTTTCATCACGATAGCTCTAAAACTATGTTAAAGACGAAGAGATATCTGCTATCTGGATTCGTTTAATCACCCTACTCATATACCTGTAAATAGTATGTACCTATAACATTTCGTTCTTCCTTCCTTAAAGGCCCCTTTTTATACCCTGAACCCGTACCCTGTCTGGATAAACGCAAGGATCTCAAGAACTATAACAGCTGGAATAACTAAATTTGGTACCTAAATTCTCCTAGGTCCGAGAAAGGACGACCTTATTTTATTCTTTTGAATTGGTATTTTTGTTTTGGTAGTATAGAAAAAACTTAACTGCCTCCATTTTCTACCAAATTCTACTTACACACTATCCATACAATACTACGCTTACTCTAACTCCTATTGCCGTCCTGCTCCTTTGTGAGGACACCCTGTGACGTAAACCAGGGCGTCGTTACAATTGAATTGTACTTGTAGGCCATCGATATAGGAGGACAATATTTAAAAATTATAAAAAGCATCTTATAAGCTCGGAAAACTTAAGTAGGAGAAATGTAATCAAATTACAATAATATCTAATTAACGCTTCCGACCCGGTGGAGGAATATTATTTGCCTTTCGGCTAACTCCCCGTCCCGCCCCGTCTCACAGTCAAGTGGTGTCAGAGAGAAACTTAGAATTAACTAAGAGCTAATTTTAAAGAGCCCCTCCCAAAAAAAAAATGGAATCTCAGACCCGGTGGGGGAAGATTTTTTAGCCAGTCCGGCAAGCTATGCTTCGTCTCACAGCCATTCCTGGTCAGAGATTCCGGAGATGGCTGAGAAGAGAGGCTTTTATTAAAGGAAGAGACAGTTAGGTGAGAGAGCAGGTGAAAATAATCATTATAAGTTGATCATAAAACCCGAAAAAGATTGCGCGATACATAATCAGTGTACTATGATGGTCTTGTGTTCAGAGGGCAGCCATAAAATCAGAAATCTTGACACGAGGACTCCTACAACTATTGCCAAATTGCATGATCCTAAGTGATGGACAACTTAAGCTGTCCGAGAATGCTCGGGAAACTTCCATATCTTGTGGTTTATTAATTTCAGTTATGGGGTCTTCTATAGGAGATCCTGTTTGGAAAACGGTGAAGTTAAAACGAGAAATGAGTATTGCGAATTATTATTGTGTCGGCTGAGCGAGCAGTTGTGATGGAAAATACTTCGAGTCCACAAATGTACTTTCTCTTGAAAAATTGACGCTTTATTGCCAATTATAGTTAAGCATTTTAATTAAAACTTGCACATTATTGATATTAATTAATAATGAAACTACATATACTGTATTTGTAAGAATTTCTCCCAGAGATCAGACAACAACAAAATTTAGTTTGTTTTGAAGGTCTGTAGCGCTGTGTGGTTAACAAAGCCGAAGTTCCAATGCATATATTTATTGGTGCTATTGCACAGATTGACGACCAGTTCCTTTGTTTGGGGCAACAATTCGAGGCAACGTTTCTGATTTATGCCGTGCATCAGCAGCTTTGTATTGTAGTTATAGGACCAATATTGATTACCGCCAGCCCCGTGACATTGCCATAACCAAACCGGTGTATTTTGTGTCCACATTTGGACATCGAGACAGACCTTCTGGCCCCGCATTCGCAAATCGCGACGCCAGCTTAGTGCCCAATACTGCGATACTTGTGGATGCACCAAGTTCTCGGCACACAAATAGGGGCCAGGCTTATTGACCGGCTTATGTTGAAGAGTATCCACGCTAATAACGATTATGTAAAGTTGTGTGCTGGACTACAAACGTACTGCCAATATACCATACCAGATATTCGGATCTCCCAGATTTTGTATGGCACCATTTGCATAGTCGGCGGGCTCGACCGGAGGATATTCCTTCAGTATATCAAAAGCCACATTTTCCATATACCATTTGAAGGACTTGCATTTTAGCTTATAGCGTTGCGCTATCTGCGCAGAAAGGTCTCCGGGATCTACTTGATCGAATTCACCGTCACGATGCTGGAATAAATACTTCTTATAATCGTCCATCCAGACTTCGGCTACGCGTTTAAAATTCTGAAACGAGCAATATTTGTGAAAGGTACGCCAATTTGACATAAGTGATTGAAATCAATTATTTTGAAAGTAGTTAACGAGATATTAATTATCCTTGTTAATTATCTCAGATTCTTCCATTGCTCGATTGCTTAGAGCACGAAGTCTGGCACAATTTTAGGAATGTACTAGGGACTTGACTTACCCTAAGTAAAAATTTCTCGCGGGACTTTTCAATAGGAGGGGATATGCGTGGTCCACGATAGATATGAGCCACTCGGGAGCAGGGTGCATCGTACATTTCTCCACCGCACATCCATATCTTGAAACTTAACTCGAATTGCTCACCACCCCAAATATCCAGACCCTCATCGTAGCCACCCAGTTCCCAAAAGAACTCCGACGAAATGGCAAACAGTCCACCTGCCATAACAGGACTCTTAAACGGTTCGGTGGGATGCTTAAGGTCCTCGGGCAGTAACGGCAACCGGGTGTATAACATTAGCCAGTTAAAGCCGCCACGTTGTCCCTCATCCTGTGATCGATATTCAAATGTCTTGTGATCAATGACATCAATTAAAGGACATACGGCGGTTCGTTTGTTCATTGCAATAGGTTCCAGTAATGGGGGCAACCAATTATAATTGGTTTCGATGTGCGAATCAAAAAAGATGAGGACCTCCGCGGTCGCATTTCGTGCACCCGCAGAGCGTGCCATTATCAGGCCTGTGCGACGCGGCAACCTCACAACATGTACATTCGTGAAGTGATCGGCTATATAGTCGTCCAGTGGCTTGCCAAGATAAGCACGATCGCTACCGTCGTCCACCAGTATAATCTCCTTAATCAGCTCAGGTGGCGAGCGATTGATTAAGCTATACACAGAACGCATCAAAACGCTCATATACTCATTCCAGAATATGATAATGATGCTCACCGTTGGCAGCTTTCGCAGATATAGTTTATTGAGGCACCTGGAAAATAGAGATTATTTTTAGGTGAAATTTTACTAAATAGTAACGGTTAGCTAGAATATCTGAGCTGAATATATTTTTGAGTTTAGCAACTTGTTACACCACTTCTAGGCTCAAGTAATATACCCACCCCATGTTCCGTATATCGGGTACTGAACGATTTATCGATATAGAATCGGAGAGCAGTGCATTAAAGCCATTTTCTAACGACATTTTCTGCTCCAATCCAAGCGTGGCATTATTCAAAAACGCTGCGCTGCCACGCTCCCCAAGGCCCTCACGCTCATTATCCCTCTCCATAGCTTTATAATCATGCCAATCCTTTTTCTGCTCATTCGCCGCATCCTTATCAATCGCATTAACGTGCAGCACAGCTGGCAGAGCGTTTTGTGCCTTGCCGTGCGGCGAAAAGCGAAACACCTTGAGCTTGGCTCCGGATTTGGTTTTGTTTGGCTTAAAGGAATTCCACGTAAAGAACAATAGGATCATCAGCCATAAGATAGCTGAGAAGGTGAGCTTTGCGATCGTTTTCAAAGTGTATCGCCGCATTGTTTTCGATTTTATTTCAGACACTAAATAAGTTCAATTTAGACGAAGCATTGCATGACGACTGATGATCGAACGCTAGTAGTAACTACTTTAATTTGCTTAATCTCGGGAAGGGTATGGTGCGTTTGTTCTGATGTTTGTTGCGTGAAAAAAAAGGCAGCCCAGATCAAGTGTTAGTGGCATATAATAGATGAGGAGAAAAATTATTATAGCCATATCCGTCAATAAGCCTATATGTCTGCTATCTAATCACTTAATAAATCTACCATTTTTCGAAACCAGTAGGATCAGACTAATTTATGCTACGGTTGGATCCCCGTCAATTCTTATGTTTTATGTAACGAACAGAATCAGATTAATTTATCATATATCTGCCTAAGGACCTCTTGCTGTATATGTTGTTTAAAAGTGAAGAATTACATTTGTGAGGGTATATAAGCTTGGGTCCCGAAGGTACTTGTTATTTAAGAAGACATTATGCTGCCTTACGCTTGATTCGACACACAAGATTTCATTAATTACAACGACAAGGAAGTGGAAGGGTACAATGAAGAAAAATATATTATTTTGTTCTTTTCTGCTTTCCTAAATGCTTACGTTCGAGAATATCAAGAATGAATCGCCTTCTTCATTTTTTAAATCATATGGTATAATCTTTTACGAAAATGCATATTCCATGCTCTCTGGTGAACTACATTTTTGAATTGGTAATACATATATCGATGCAAAAACTCATCGGGGTTGAGATGAAAGAGTTGCAAACAAGTCTTTGAGTCGACCCATTTCGAACGCTTTAGTCGATGTGGCTGGAAAAAATGTGCAGTGGCGTGACGAATGAAGCCTTAGACCGTATACATCATTCATTATACGAGTATGTAATCGAAATTAGGGTCACCAGTGTTTTAGATGTCGAACTATGTAACTAGTAGCCAACAACAGGAGCACAAAATGCGTCGTCCTAATTTGAAATGGTTCGCAAAGTTGACACTTTTGCTTTTCTTATGGCTAGTAATGTTTCTGCTAGTAAAATGGAATTCAAACTCATATGTGCCGGATACCCATAGGCACTTGGAGATAGACTCATTGAATGAGCCGTACGGTGACGCACAGAATGCATTGCCAGCTATTTTACTGGCTGGTTGGGAGATGGAACAGAAAAAGGAAAAGTCTGACGATAGTCCCAGTCGGAAGGATGCAAAAGAAGTGGGTGGTGTTCGCGTAGAGGTAAATGATGCTCCCAGCGGAGAGAAGAGGGATTGGCATGATTATAAGGCCATGGAGCGTGATAGTAAGCGCGAGGGCATAGGGGAGCGCGGCAAGGCAGAGAAACTGGGTTATGCCACGCACGAATTGGAAAAAAAAATGTCAATCGAAAACGGCTTCAATGCGTTACTCTCGGACTCAATATCGGTAAATCGATCAGTGCCTGATATTCGACAAAAGGGGTGAGTAAAGCAGTTGTAAATTGCACTAGTATGTTTCGTTTTTTTCTCGCCGCGTCATTTTTGAGAAATACAATTGTATAACACAAAAAGTTTCTTTACGATGTTACGTGCCTTCTAGTTATATTTATGTTATTTCATTTCATCTTATCCTATCCATCCTATCTCATATTTTTTTATAATTTGTAAACTCTCATTTAGTTTTTTTTTTTTTTAATTTTATCTCATATTAACTCGTATTATCTCAACGTACGTATCTTATCTCAACTTACATCATATTATCTCATCTTCCATCATCTTATCTCATCCTATTTCATCTTATCTCAACCTATCTCATCTTATCTCATCCTATTTCATCTTATCTCATCCTATCTCATCTTATCTCATCTTATTTCATCTTATATCATCCTATCTCATCTTATCTCGTTCTTTTCATCATACCTCTCTTTAATTAGTATAAGGTAAGGAGTCCTTATCTCATCTTATCTGATTTTATCTCACCTTTTTTTTACGTCGTCTCATCTTATATCATCTTTAAAGCCATTATAATATTTTAATTTCACAGTTGTCACAGCAAGCTGTATTTCAGTAAGCTGCCAACCGTGAGCATCATTTTAACTTTCTGGAACGAGTACATGAGCGTTCTGAAACGCTCTATTCATAGTTTAATTAATCGATCGCCGCCTGAGTTGATTAAGGAGATTATACTGGTGGACGATGGCAGCCATCGTGACTATCTTCGCAAGCCCTTGGAGGATTATATAGCCAAGCACTTTAAGAATGTGCGTATTATTCGATTACCCCGTCGCATTGGCCCGATTGGAGCACGCTCTGCGGGTGCTCATAATGCCACCGCAGAAGTTCTAATTTTTGTGAACTCTCGCATCGAGACCAATTATAATTGGTTGCCACCATTGCTGGAACCCATTGCATTAAATAAGCGTACCGCAGTGTGCCCATTAATTGACAATATAGATCACACTACATTTCAATATCGAGCCAAGGATGAGGGAAAACGTGGTGGCTTTAATTGGTTTTTCAGCTACATACGTTTACCGCTGCTGCCCGAAGACCACAAACATCCAACAGAGCCTTTCAAGAGTCCTATAATGGTGGGTGGAGTGTTCGCAATATCGTCGGTTTTCTTTTGGGAGTTGGGCGGCTACGATGAGGGTCTACAAATGGAAGGTGGTGAGCAATTTGAGTTAAGTTTCAAGATATGGATGTGTGGAGGTGAGATGTACGATGCTCCGTGCTCACGTGTGGGACAGATCTATCAAGGATCTCTGAATCACACTGCGGCTCTGCTCAAGGTGAGTCCAACATCTACGACCTTTCCAAAGGACTAACGATGGCAAGATAGTTAATGATATTCATTCTTTGGCATTCTTTCAGAATTATAAACGTGTAGCCGAAGTGTGGATGGACGATTACAAAAAGTATTTGTATCAGCGTCGCTATGCTGAATTCGATAATATTGATCCCGGGGATCTTACTAAACAGATAGCATTGCGATACAAGCTGCGGTGCAAGTCTTTCAAGTGGTTTATGGAAAATGTAGCCAGTGATGTTGTTCGGGAATTTCCGCCCACTGAGCCGCCTGATTATGCCAATGGCGCCATACAAAATTTGGGTAATCCTGATTACTGGTAGGGTCTACCGACTTACAGCCCGTTTATCCGATTTTAATTATAAATGGTATTTACTTAGCGTGGACACTCTTCAACGCAAGGCCAATAATCATATTGGTGTATATCCCTGTGCCGAAAACCTGGTGCGTCCTCAGCGTACGCAATTCTGGACTCTAAGCTGGTACCGAGACTTGCGCATACGTAACGAAAAGAACTGCATGGATGTCCAGGTATGGCATAGCAATGCACCGGTTTGGCTATGGAAGTGCCACGAAAAGGGCGGTAATCAGTATTGGTCTTATGATTACAAGCTCAAGATATTGAAGCACGGCAGGGAGGGCAAGCGTTGTCTCGAGATGTTGCCGCAGAACATGGAGCTGGTCGTCAATGTGTGCAATGCTACAAATAGGTATATGCTCTGGAATTTCGGCTATGCCAATCACACGGCACTGCTGAACTACAAGTAAAATAAGAACATTGCTTTGTAGCTGTCATTTGATGTTCTTTAGTTCCCACAGTACTGAAGTACTGAGATAAAACTTTTTATCATGGGCACCCTCAAATGTGGGTTCCTCCGCTAACTTATTTGTGCCGTAATTAATTAAAAATAAATGCTATTAAAGCTGCAATTCGTAAATATCGTAATACAGTATTTAATGGCAAAGAGTACTATCGGGACACACTATACTATAAATTCTGAAAAGCTTGGTTTTATAAAGGACTTTTTTCTTGGTGAACAAAACAAGGGGTTTGGTGAATTGAGATATAAGTATATACTATATATTATCTTTGTGATCCCTCTATCGGTTGGAGTGCATGTCAGTAGGTCTTATATTTAATGCTAAAGTCTGGCTTATTGTATTTTTGTATTGTAAAATTGTATATACACCATTGCCACGGATTCCCAAATCCGTAAAATGCTCGTCATTTAAAAATTCGATCTTGTCAGGGTTCCGTCTTCCACTCAAAATAACCGCAAAGCCTTAAGATTTCCGACCAGGCTAAAATTTGTAAACAGAAATCATTCTAGCCCTGTTGGGCAGAAGGGAGAATTTTTATACTGCAACTTGTCGGATTATAGTTTCCTCTGGATTTTTTGAGGGTGTGATTTGACAATAGATTAACGCTGATTAACCTGAGTGGTAGTATCTTTTTGGTTAATGTGAAGTGAATTTAATTAAGTGGTAAAGAAGCTAAATATAGCGGTATATATTGCGATTCATAAGACGAGACACCCAGTACGCATGTTTATAATTGACGCCTAGGATATTGCCCATGAATAGACGAATACCGATTACCGGTTTCTCAGTGTGGTTTAACATATTTTTATACTATTTGAAAATTTGTTTTTTAAAAATATGTCGTTAGACTGATTTAGAAACTACTTGGAAGAGTTCTAGATTGTGTTCTTAGCAGAATTTGTGACCGCATTAGATCAGTGAGGATCGTAGACGGGATTGTTAAGTTCTTATTACGATAAAAACCTAGAATACAGAAGTAGACCTTTAGGCTTTGGCATCCGTTTTTGACTGATTTTTTCTTGTTATCCACCATTTCTATGACAGCTATTTAAAATAATGAATGCGCCACACATGTAAATCCCCCCACTATATATAATAGAGTCTTCAATTGTTATTTGTTTTTCGTGCAGAAGTTGATCCTATTGGTTTTTTATTAACTGTATTGCTATCGAAGTCACTTAAAGGAACGCAAACTAGAGCAGGTCTGTAATGTCTAACATAATTATGTACGTTAATAATTGTGAATATCTATTTTAATTACTTCTACACCATAATCAATTATGTCAGCATATTTTCAAGCGCCGTTCGATTAGTAAAGCCGAAGATCCACTTCATATATTGTTTGGTTTCGTTACACTTGTTCACAACCAGATGCATGTTGTGTGGCAGCATTTCAAGGCAACGTTTGCCGTGAGAGCCGTTCCTTAAAAGCTTCGTCTTGATGTCGTAGATCCAATGTTGATTACCACCCTGTCCGTGACATTTCCACAGCTTAACGCGAGCATTAATTTTACGCATAGGAACATCTAGGCAGATTTCGTCGTCACTTGTTCGCAAGTCCTGAGTCCACCCAATACTCCAGAATTGCTGCTCGTGTGGGCTAGCCAGATTTTCGGCACAGGAGGAGACACCAATAGTGCTTCTGACCTGCCGCGAAAGCGTGTCGACGCTAAAAACGTAAATGATTACAATTGGATAAACGAGGTATTAGTTGATATACCCTACCAGAAGTTAGAATTGCCCATATTTTGTATGGCACCTTCGGCATATTTAAATAAAGAAGGCGGATATTTCTTTTTCGTGTCAAAGGCCACAGTATCCAAGTACCACTCGAAGGATTTGCATTTGGAACGTACAGCTTTCTGTTTGGTTAGATCACCAGTGCTTATTCTACTATATTTAATATTGTTCTGGAATAAGTACTTCTTGTAATAACCCATCCAGACCTCGGCCACGCGCTTGTAATTCTGAAATGTAATTATTGGCATTCAAGTATTTACTATTTGTTCTTTTTGTGGTATGAATAGCTACCCTCAGTATAAATTTCTGTGGCTTGCTCTCCGCATCATCCTCTTTTCGGTAATTTGCTTCAATGTGTGCCACACGCGAACACGGCGCATCATAAATTTCTCCATCACACATCCAGATCTTGAAACTCAACTCGAATTGTTCACCTCCATATTCATTAAAGCCGTTATCGTAACCTTTCAGTTTCCAAAAGAACTTGGAGAATATGGCGAATAGTTCTCCTTTCATGATAGGATTTTTGAATGGCTCCGATGGATATTTCATATCTTCGGGCAGTCTCGGCAGCTCGGAATAGTTTAAGTTCCAGTCGAAAGCACCGCGACCACCAACTACTTTTTGATATCTAAGCGTTTGTTCATTTATCCTATCAATAATAGGGCACATTACTGTCCTATTATTCAGCATAATGGGCTCTAACAGTGGCGGCAGCCAATTATCTCCGACCTCGATGTGTGAGTCCATAAAGACTAAAACCGGAGCGGTAGCACTACGTGCTCCTAACATGCGTGCGTGACTCCGTCCAGAATGTTTGAGCATTCGCAAAATTCGTACATTCGTAAAGTGTGCGGCTACGTACTCGTTCAGGGGTTTATCTAGAAAGTCGGTATCGCTGAAGTCGTCCACAAGAATGATCTCCTTAAGTAGCTCGGGTGACGTGCGATTGACTACACTATGCAAGGTTCGGAGCAGAACGCTTTTATACTCGTTAAAGAAGGTGATAATGATGCTCACTCTTGGGAGGTTCCCAGCGTATTCTCTATCTTCGCATCTGTGGAAAGGAGAACGAACATTTTTGAACTTAATGATGAATGTTACAGCATCACACAAGTGCATAACTTACTTTACTTTCGATTTCCTCTCGACCATATTGCTGCCTGGGTGAAAATCATTGACATCACCAACATCATTATTGGTATTATTTTGAACCCTTACAATCCATTCGGCCTGGGAAAATGCTGGCACAATATTCGCTGCAATGCCATACGGACCTAATAATGGTTCCGAGCCTATGACATTATCTTTGAGCGATTTCCAGTTGACGTTATATATTAATAATATCGGCACATTGAGAACAGAAAAGAAAAAAAATGAGTATATTGCGAGCGGTCTCAATCTTGGCTGTTTCATTGTGTTTGCTGACTAATCTGATGTAGCCATGATACATACTTATAGTTTAGGTATAGTAGTCTGGCGCTTCTAATTCATTTCACGGTTGATTCGATATCGTATGAGTGAATTACCTTAAGGGCCACAATGACGGAACAAAAGTTTTCTCTTTGTATCATTCACTGAAGAACAAGGCGATATAATGCTTTTTGGAAGGGACCATATTTTTTGCGATCTACACTTTGAAAGGCATCAGGCTGAATCTTTGAATCGAGGCTTCCTAATGTTAAGTAAAAGTATTTAATCGTATAGTATAGTGGAAGGAAGCTATGGACAACCAAGTATGAAATTAGTACACAATTATTTGTAAAGAATGCTACGTGCTATTAAATATTAATTTTACTACAAAATATTGTTTTATACATTTTGATTTTTATACTCTGTACATAAAATGTACAAGAGTATATTAGGTTTGCGGGAGCTGAAAATGTAACGGGCAGAAGGAGGCGTGGCAGACCCCACAAAGTATATATATTCTTGATCAGCATGACGAGACGAGTCGATCTAGCCCGGTCTGTCTGTCTGTCTCTCCGTCTGTCAGTATGTCCGTCTGTCCGTATGAACACCTGGATCTCAGAGACTATAAGCTAGAGACACCAAATTTTGAACCAAGATGCCTTATGTGTGTACGCTGTGCAATTTTGTTTTATTTTTTAGATTTTAGTCCCAGATGCCTTATGTGAATGCGCAGAAAATGAGTATTTTGGAATTTCCCTCCCTCCCCCCTCTCCCCCACAAATCGTAACTCCCGTAATTCTTGACATTTCGAACTCAAACTTGGCAAATACCTCTAGTTAGTTATTATGTGTCACTCTACGTGAGTTCGAATACCAAGAGAGGTACAATCGATTAAAATTTGATTTTTAATGCTCTTAATTTTTTGAATATCTATAATTATTCTAAACATATGTACAGAGTTTTTTTTTTACTCATATAGCCACCTTAAGGTTTTTGTCAAGCTATTTTTCATAATAAACAATTCTTTGCTTCACTAATTAGCTGACTATTTTAATACTGTCCTATCTACAATATAAAGTATTTTTGTCACTTATTAAATTAAAGCAGCGACGTGTCGAATCTGCCATGAACAGTCATATTAAGTAAGGTGCAGGATTTTGGTGCAGAAGCTGTTTACCAATGCCTCCGAATGATTAATATGATGCTTTGCGCAATTATATATGGATGGTGATGTTAATCTTTAGTTTTCTCTTATGGTGGTTGTAGCTACGCCTGCTTACCCAGTTGGTGTCCACAGAATTTGTACATACTCAAAATAATATTTAATCAGTATAGCGATGTGCTAAACATCCCAGAGTAATGCAGCTGGAAGAACTGGCATGATTATCAGGCCATAGCAAGACAAGGACTCTCGTTAAGGAACTACAACTATTTAAGGAAAATTCATTCGAATTTTAGAATTTTAGATCTGCCCTAGATTCCTTAAAAACCATGTGAGCCATGTGTTTCTGTTGAATATATATACTTTGGGGGGCTTTTCATGGTTTTTCATTTTGCATAATCCTAATATAAGTACCATTGTACCTTTTGGGATAAAATAATGATTACAGAGTTGGAGTAACTCGACTGTAGTATTCTTTCAGTTTTCCATCGCACCTTTTTGCATAAACTGTGACCATTATTATATACAATAAAAATGCAATTATTTAAATTTTGTTTTCGCATTAATTTTTATTTAATATTAATATCTGTTTGCTTTCAATACGCGTACTTTAAATAAATATAATTTATGCATTTACTTCATATTCTTGTTTATATACGTTTGTTTTTGTTTAGCGTTTTACAATACGTGTCTTCATTATCATCTTTATCATCATTATCGTCATCATCGTCCTCTTTATCAACGCCATTGACAATTATCTTTTGTGATTTTTGTCAATCGAGTGCTTAATTCTTTGTTCTGTTTGCTTTTGTTTTGTTTGTTTGCTTTGTGTGCCAACTTGCCATTGAGTTACTATCATTATTATTATAAATATGCCAATAATTATGGTATATATTTCAATACATGTATATATATATATATATTTTTATATATATATATAGTATATATTTATACGTTTAGTTGATTTATATGCAATACGTTTTTCTCGTCTCTCTCTTCTACGCATGCCCCGCTAAAAACTCATTTAACTTAATAATGGCAAAAGTTTTATTTATTTATTTGAAAATTATAAAAAAGCATTTACAAACTATAATAGTTGTCGTTTTTGTTTTTGTTGTTATTGTTGGCTTGCATAATCATAATCATCATATACAAATACATATACACAATATGTATGTATGCATGTATTTTTACACAATAATATATTATTTATATATAAACATTTAAATATTTATCAAAACATGTTTTTCTTGTTGCTCAAAAGTCTTCTTCGCTGCCTTACATTTACATAATTTTTAAATTAGTTTTTCAAATTTTGTTTCAATTTCAAGCACGCAAATCAAAACGCATTGTCTCTGCAATAAAAACTTATGTAGTACATATTTACTTTTCCTTTTGCATTTGTGTGTGTGTATGTTTTTTTTTGTATTTTTGTTTATTTAAAATTTTAAATAATCAATCATTTAAAATCATATGCGCTCGATCTTTAAAACTAAACATGTAACATATAGGGTTTATGAAATTGTTTAAAATTAATTTCATAATTACAATTAGTAAACATATTTGTTTTTGCTTGTTTGTTGGTTTGTTTGTGCAAAAAATAGTTGCTTTGAGTTGAAATACATACTCGCATGTTTTAATCATCAATTGTATTTGCCTTTAGACTAATTTGATTTGAAATTCAGTTGCGCTGCCATTTGTTTTTTTTATCATTTTGGATGGATGGATAAATGAATTGAGTTTTTCTTAGAACTTATGAACTCATTTAGTTAAATGATAATAATAAGCATAAAACACATACATACTTGTGCATGTGTGTGTGTTTGTGTGTTGAAATTTATAGTTTTGCATGCTTAATACTTGCTTGGTTTCGAGTCTTCATTATTTAATTAATTCGCATTTACATTTACAGCATATTTTTAAAAATAATTTGCTTTGATTTTCTGTTACGGCGCATAAATAAATATACCACTAATTTGTTGTACAAATGTATGTAATTAGTTTATAGTTTGTATTGTTTTGTTGCTGTTGTTTTGCTCTTGTATCTTGTCTACTGGCTTAACTTAAATTAAATTAGTGTTAAGTTTAAAAGATGTCTTGTTGCTTGTTTTCTGCTTACTACTTGTATGTTTTGCATTACAGCATTTTTTTACTCGTATGTAGTACTTCGACGCATTTGCTGCTCAAAAAAATCTGTGGCCTGATGCATGTTTCTCAAAAAATACACATGCCAATTAATTTTTGTTTAATTTTGATGTATAGTTGCCTTTTCGCTTGCTCGCTCGATTATTTCATATTTGTATTTTATGCTGCAAATGCTGCATTTTTGTAGGCCACTTGTGACAGACAAGAGTGCGGCATATGCTTTAAAGCCTTTTAGGCAGCAGAGAAGTGTGTTGGGGTCTGAAAAAATCGTCTTTTGTACGAGAATAGGAGTGTTAAACAGAAAATTGGTTAACCTGCAGCTTAAATGTACGCAACAAAGTTGTAAATGTTAAATTTAACAGCCATCATGTAAACCACATAACAGACCAAGGTAATCCTAACAGCAGGTAATCCTGTACAGTACGACTGTAAGCAGTTGAACATGAGAACAACATGGCGGACTAGGGTAAGCGTAACAGCAAACAAGTTGTTAACATTACAGTATGACTGTCAGCAGTTGAAAAGGAATAAAATTTATGTAAGCCCTACAGCAGTCATGACAGAGCTATAGACTGTATAATCATTAAAATGAATTGCTAGTTTATTTTAAAAGCGGATTTAAAGTTTTTAGAAGAACTTCTCTACTGCGTACTAGGCATAAAGAACAATAACAATTTACATGGAAGCTGAACGCCTGTAATATTACGGCGCCAAGCTGCATGCAAATTGTGTGAGTGTGTGTGTGTCTGCGCGAGTATGGGTGTGTGAGGAGGTGCTATGAAGTTTTACTTTTAAAATATATCTGCTTGTAGTTTAATTTGGTTACGACCTTTTGTTTTGTTTCCATTTCTTTTAACCTTTGTTTGTAGTAAAAACTTGTTACCAACTATTATTTGTTTTTTTTTTTTTTTGTAGCGAAATTCATTTTCTTTTCTTCTAGTTTAAGTTTGCGTTAAAAAATGGTTTATTTGTACTTTTGGCAATGATCTTTCCTTCCACTAACAGTTTGACTTTTCGTTCGTAATCCTCTTCTTTTCTTTAGTTTTGTTGTTGTTTCCTACGAGCGCGAAACTCAAGCAACTAAATTATGTTTTCTATTAGTTTCTTTCATTTTCAATTAGTTGATGTAGTTTGTTAGTTGTCATTATACTCGTGTGTATGTAGTGTGGATGTTGTTGTTGTTTGTAGAGTAAAACATTAAACTAAAATGTGCAACAGATGCTTTAAGAAATAGCTGCATATATAAACTAGATGAGTGTGTGTGTAGCTGTAATTGTTTTGTCTAAGTGGTCAGAAACTCGTGATTTTTAACTTTATTCAAAGTTCGGGTATCGCGAGTTTCCGACCACATTAGAACTTAGTTTATCTGAGGACTTGGCTCTCTTGCTGGAATGGTGTCAACTGGCAGCGGCAGGCAGCGCTACTGGGGATTTTATTTTCAACATCATCATCATCATCATCTTTATCAAACCTCGTCATCTTTATAAATCTTCATCATCTTTTTAATCATCATCATCATATGGCACACGAAATTAGACGCGTTTACAAAAATAATTTTTGAGAGAATATGTTTTCATTTGTTGTGTGTGTGTTTGTCAGTCGTTGTGGCTTAAAATTAAAGCGCAGCTGCGGCTTCGGATTAATTATGAAATTTTGCTTACAACATATTTCACAAAAAAATGACAAAAATAAAACGAATTACGTTGTTGTGGCTGATTTACCAATACAGGCGACGTTCGCTCAAGTTTGCTGAACTGGCGGCTGCGGTTGCGACTGCGGATGCGCGCCTGACGCCTGGGCCTGGCCATTGGTCGTGGACGATGTGGGACTGCTATTGCCCTCCTGATAGGGCCCCGTAACCACACAGGGATGCATAGGAAACAGGGTTGTCCACGACGTTGTTGTTAGTGTTGGTGCGTGGAGGGCAACTTTCTCGTTTTTTGACTGCTCGTTGGCATTGTTATTGTGTTTGCTCTTCGATGAGTCACTTTTCTTCTTTTTACTGCCTGAGGCAGCACCACCCGTCCCTGTGGCGCCACTGCTGCCATTTTTCAACTGATTGCCGTTGCTTTCCTTCTTGATGGGGGTGGTTGTTGCTGCCGTTGTTGCGGCCGCTGATGTCGCCAAATCCTCGTGCATATCATCATCCTCATCATCATCTGCGGCTGCTTTCTTGAGCAAACGTTCGCGCTCCTCTTTGGCTTTGTTATCGAGGTCCGTGTTGATTTTTTTCACACGCATCTTCTCCTCCCACTCATCGATGCCGTGACGCGCCCGATTCAAGTTGCGATGCTGATAAAATATCAGCGTCATGCGCGTCGGATGATGACGATCCGGACGACGAACCGCCGTCGTCGCATGCATCTCATGCTTTGCACACTCGATCAGGACACTGCCATGATTGAGCGCAATGGCCACACCACCCATTTGGGGGTCCTGAAACGCCTCGAGGTTCTCATTAATTTCGGCAACCTCGCCGATGGGCTCAATTTTGTTCGAATTTGTGCTGGCAGGCGCCACTGTGGTGGTTGTGCTTGAGGAGTTGTTGCTGGACGAGTTGGAGCCATTGGCATCGTTGCTGACGGGTGCATCCTGATTTCCTGGCGTGGCACCACCAGTTCCGCCAGCCCCAACAATGACTGCAGCCACACTGCCATTGGACGGCGCGGTGGGCGTAAGCGGTGCTTCTGTCAGGCCGGTGGCGCTGTTGCTGTTGTTGCTGCTGAGATCGGGCAAGATGGTCTGGGGGGTGGTTAGGGGGGCCGCTTGGGTAGGCAAGGTTGTTGCCTGCGGCGCCGGCGCCATGGCTGTGGGCTTATGCTGTGGTGCCAATGGTGCGGTGGTTGCAGTATGTGTGGCCAATAGAGTACCACCAGCACCGCCGCTGGGCGGCAGCGCGGTGGGCGTATAAGTGCCCGTACTCTGATGATGGCCATACACATTCCAGTTGGGCGAGGGCGGTGGTGGCGTGGGCGGTGGCGTCTGCTGAGGATACATGCCGTAGGGCGAATACGCCTGATGATGATAGCCGTAGTTGTAGTTCATGTTTGAGTATGCATCGTAGGCGGAGTAGGCGGAATGTGGCGGCGGGTACATTTGATAGTTGTTTGGATATTGCGTTGTGTACTGATAGTCGCTTGGCGGTGGTTTCGGTTTCACGAAGCCCTCTTGAAGTGGTTGCAGGTGATGATGTAGTGGTTGTTGCGGTTGTTGGTGTGGGTGGTGGTGTTGGTGGTGGTTGGTGAGTGATGCAAGATTAGTCATTGGTTGCATTGTTGTCAATGTGGTTAACTTACTGTCGACTAAGTTATGATTGACCAGCGTTGTGGAGTCCGGGTTCTCCTCGCTACCTCCGCGGCTTTTCAGCTCGCCGACCAGCTGTTGCTGCACTGCGCCCGCTGGCGTTAACGATGTAGCCGTCAGATTGTTATAACTGGGCGTATAGCCGTTGTTGGCATCGTGTTGCGTGGCCGTGGCAGCAGGTGGCACCGCGGTCGCTGTAGCCGCGGTGGCTATAGCGGTTGGCGTGGCTGTTGCTGGTGCCGGCGTAGTAGTGTGCTGGGTGAGCGGTGCTCCTGGCGTAGGCGTGGTTGGTGTTAAAGCCGTACTGCCTGTTGCCTGAGCAGTAGGTGCGGCGGCGCCCATGCCCATGTGACCATGTGGGGGCCAGTTGCCGTAGTAGTTGCGCGAATCAATATAAGAGCCAGTCTGATAGTCATAGGAGTACGGTGAGTCCAGCACCGTGCTCGAGATCTGATTGGATTGCAACTGGGCGTCCGTAAACGTGTCTATCATGGTAGCCATATTCATCAGGCTGGAGTTGGAGCTCATTAACTGGTTGGGCGTCGCACCGGGTGGTGCATTCGCCACACCCCCGGCTGGATTTGTGTTATTGTTGGTGTTGCCGCTGGTGTTATGCTGATTTACGGGTGGCGTGCTAAAGGCGCTGCCTGCCGGACTGGGATTGTTGGTTACGGGCGTTTGGCAGCGTGGCGAGGGAGTCGAGGGCGGGGCCGAGCCTGGGGTTGAAGCGCTGGAGTTATTGGACTGATTGGATTTGGACTTTGACTTTGATTTGCTGCTGCCACCGCCTCCAGAGCTGTTGCCAGCCCCATTGGCTACGTTCTCCTTCTTAATGGCGGGCGGACTGCTTTGCGTCTGGCCGCCTAATGACTGAGAGCCATTGTTGGCGGAATTATTGTTACCATTGCCATCGCCAGTCGCGTCCTGTTCGCCATCCGGAGGCGCTGCCTCATCTTCTTTACGCTTCTTACCATGACGACGACAGGGTATCAAAGGGGTCGAACGTACACGTACTTCGCAGGGAAATCTGTGAAGGCAACAAGAAGAATAAGAAGAAATCATGTTAGCAATGTCTGAGGTTCAATTGGTAGAGCAGCAACTGGAGCTCAAAACTCAACACTACACTCACTTGTCCAGCATTTGCACCGCGCCTGTGCGATGCTTATCGCGTTGCCCCTCGACGCTCTCAAACTCATCCGTGCCGTCCATGGTGTACAGAGGAAGAACATGGAATTGTTCGTCGTCAGGCAGGCGGCTGTCGCGATTAGATGGCTTCAGCAGTGCCACATGGACAGTGCAACCATCCTGCATATTGTGGAGATCACGATGAGAGTGCGCGCAAAAATCGAGACAGGCGGTTACGCCCGAGAAGGGTTTGCCTGCCTCCAAGCCAAGCCGGCAGTCGGATGCCTCTTGCTCGTACTTGGTCTGATTGTCGTAGGATCGTGGACAGACCTGTTTGAAGACGGGCGCCAGTATCGTGGCAATTAGATTCATGTGATCCTCAATGGCCGCCTCCTCGCTCTTAACGGAGAGTCGGAATTTGCGTACGGTCTTCGAGCGCGCATACTTGCAGCCATTATAGTACATGGACCATGAGCAGCCAAAGCTATACGAAGCGCCAGAGGATTCGGGATCAAGACCTGCAACGAAATATAGTTAAAGAACACGTTCCTTAACTCTTCCGATGAGGCACACTTACCTTGGCAAGCGCAAGTGCGATTCTCGTTGGTGGCACAGCGACGCGTGGTGGGCAGTCCAAACTTATTGAGCTTCGGAATCAGATTCTTGTAAGCATTATCCGCCTCCAGGCGTGGCATACCATCCCAAGCCACCATGCAAACAACAATGTAGGCCGCCAAACACCTGATTCGAGAGCAGTTAAGATGTATTTTTAATGGCGGTTAGGAAGAGAAAAGTCTAATCGACTTACCTGTGACCAGGTCGCTTCTTTACAACCACTAGAATTTTCTCCTCAGGATCGGCACGTCTGATAACCCACTTGGCTACCGGGCATCCCTGCGAGGTCTTGCCCTCTTTGCCGGTGTAGATAATCTTCTCAATACGCAGTTGACGGCCACTAAGCTGACAGCGTTCCTCGAACTCGCGCCGCAACTCAGAAAGCGTAGATGCAGTGCCTAAAGTTTAAATACAAGGGATTACCTGAATTGGGTTATTTTTGAGAGAGCTGTGTAGTGACTTACCCAGATGAGTGTAATAAGTTCCTGGCTCTGGTGGATTTTTGTCCGACTGAAAGCACTCGCACTCGGGTATTTCTGTCTTGTTACCCTTCTCCAAACGGTCCGTGGTATCGAACATGGGATTTATTTTCTCATGTTTCACAATAATCTCGGGTATTTCCTCCGGCTTTTTGCCCTTCGTCTTCGACTTGGCGCCATTGTGCGCCTCGGCTAGCTCATCCTCATCGAGAATCTCCTCCTTGGGCTGTATGCTGCCAAGACAGCTGCCATCCTTCAGATGCTCGGCTGTAGGAGCACGCGTGCCACCCTGTCGACAACACGAGAAGCCATTGCTCTTGGCATCGCCGATGTAGGGAAAGTTATGCGACATCATGCCCATATCCTCCAGCTTGGGCTCGAGCATGCCGGCATGTCCATGACCCAAATGTGGAGGCGGCGCACCGTGGCCCAACGCATAGCGATGCGGAGGTATGGGGTATGCATGCGCCGGTATATCCTTTTCATAGTTAGTGGGCAGTGGTATGATGCTATTCGTGTCCGGCTTTCGATCCAGCTCCAACATGGAGCTATTGCCATGATGCATTCCACTTTTGTGCGGTCCATTAGAGGCGCTGCTCTTGCCGGGCGCATGATGCATGCCATGCCCATGACCGCCATAGGCAGCCGCATGCTGATAGCCGGGCACAAAGTTCTGTTGGAAGTTCTGCTGAAAGCTGCCGGCACCGGCTCCATAATACGCCGAATTATGATGATAACTGGCATAGTCCTGCTGGCCATGGTGTGCTTGCTGCGCCTGTGCCTGTGCTTGCGCCTGTGCCTGCGCTTGCGCCGCCGCTGCCTGAGTATCGTTCTGGCAGAAGTCTGCGTACTGTATGAAATTTTGATAGTTACGCTCGTAACCTTCCATCTTGTTGGGCTGCGGTGGTGGCGGCGGTGGCAATAGTCCTGGCTCTGTTTTTATGTATTGCTGATGATAGTCCTGACTGGGTGGTGGATAGTGGGTGGCAGCTGTGGGTGGTGCATATCCCAGTTTATCTAAAGGCTTAAGTCCCCCACCACCACCACCACCTGGATCTGTGGAATTGCGATCAATTTCGGCTGCTGCTTCGGCCGCAGCACGACTCGCTTTACTGCGACTGCGTGACTTTTTCGGTTGTGTTGTGATAGGTGGTGGTGCTGGTGGCTGTTGCACCGCTGGTAATGATTCCACAGGTGGCTGTAGACTGTGATTGATGGTCGTGTGCTGGCCCGCCTGCATATTATGAGCGTCTGGATAGCCGCTGTTGAGGGCGGGCTTCTTAAACGAGTTGGCGTGATGCGGCTTCCATATTTGATCGCCACCACCTCCGATCGGCTCTGGCGCAAGACTTTGTTGCTGCTGTTGTTGTTGTTGTTGTTGCTGCTGCTGTTGCTGTGCGCCACTGGAGCCATTGGCGCTCAGCGCCGTGTCCGTGCGGAGATGGTGGCTATACGATAAAAAATGACCGGCCTGCTGCTGTTGTTGTTGCTGTTGCTGCTGCCCAGCTGGAGCGCCGCCCGGCACGACAGAGCTTTGCATATGCAGGTCCGGCACGGGTGCTGTGGCACTGGCCATGGGATCCTTTGGATCACTCTTGCGCATTATCATCGACTTGATGCGTGTATTTAGGTGCACCCGTTCGCCCTGTTGCTGGTAGGGATCGCTGCTAAGCTGCTGCTGTTGTTGCTGCTGCTGTTGCTGTTGTTGCTGCTGCCAATTCCAGTCCTGCATGGCCGGCTGTGGTGGCGAGGACAGATGCTGCTGCTGCTGCTGCTGCTGCTGTTGTTGCTGCTGTTGTTGTTGCACGTAGGGCTGCAGTCCATTGCCATTGGGCGAGGGTGGCACCTGACCTTGGCTAACTGGCGATTGGGAGACATGACGCGGCTGTTGTTGTTGCTGCTGCTGTTGTATAAGAGTGCGCGTGGGGGACTGTGGCACCGCTTGTTGTGCCACATTGGGCGGCTGCATGGGTGAGGCTGCTGGCTGGGCAACAGATTGCTGTTGCTGTTGCTGTTGTGTGTTGTTACTGTTGTTGTTGCTAACGCTGGCCACAGCTGTGGGTGTGGCTGTGGCTGCTCCCGCTGCTCCTGCACCAGTCGTCGTCTGTTGCTGTTGTTGTTGTTGTTGCTGTTGCTGTTGAGCACCGCTGTAATCGCCTGAATACCCGTTACAATTGAGTGAGCGCGGCGGCACGCTGCTCACCCGCGGATATCCAGGCGTGTCGTTTCCCGACATCGTCTTATTAAGGTCGCTCGCAACGCCCAGATGCTGCTGTTGCTGCAATCCGACGGCTGGAGGCGCTGGCGCTGTCGACACTTGTCCTGCGTAGCTAACACCACTGGGCGCGAAACCCGCAATGCCACTCTGTAGTCCCACCTGATTGATGGGTGCACTGGAGAGCTGTTGACTCTGGAAGTCGTAGCGTTGCACGGGCGCGCCATAGGGGGAGCGTCCGTAGCTGGGATCAAATCCGAGACCGGTCTGTACATAGCCATTTGATGGATACGCATAGGACTGCGTCTGGAATTCCAAGGAGTTGAGCGATGTGATGGCTGGAGTATTCTGTGGTATCTGCTGTATGAACTGATTTTGCCAGCCCTGTGAGGGATCGGCCTGCCAGGTGGGATAGAAGGCCATGGGTGCCTGCAAAGAAACAAATGTGAGGCGAGGTGAGTTGAGCAGCTTTACTTGAGAGAGAGGGAGTGACAAATGTGAGCAGTTGGGCAAACCATTAACAGCTTAAGCAAATGTTTTAAAATTTTAATGATTTATTGAGTTGCGAAACCCACCCCTTCCGGCAACGACAGCATTAATGGCATTGGGTTAGGGGTGAGTGTGTTTTTAACTAAGTATACATAAATGTTGGATGTATTTCTCGTGTTGGCCGCCTGCTCTTTAGCTATAATAGCCATGTATGATGGGCCACATGTTGTGTTTTAAAGAGCCACACAACTTTATGTTAATGCAATTGTGTCTGGTACTGGTAATTCCTCATGAATTAGCATAGGCTAGGAGAAGCACGGAACCGTAGCCAATCCACCCAATTCTGCAGTTAAATTGAAAGCAAATTCATTGCTTCAATAACTACTATATCTTTGAAGTTTGAGGGCAATAAAATGTCATTACTTTGAGGCACATAAATCGTAAACTATACTTATGCAACACATATTGAATTATGCACATATTAATCAGTTCTGTGGTTATAATTCCATTTTGAAATTATAAAATATATATATAAAAAGTTCACATATAACTGAAGAAATGCAGATCTATTTGCAATTATAAGTATACTTTCTAATATATAGACTAACGTTCTACACTCATTTTAGTCGTTCACACTTTTTGCACTGATTCAGATTGAATTCAGTTTTGACTTTTGGCAAATTAACATTGTTCTATAAAAATGTACTCAAATATGGAAGACAACAGTTATCTTTCAAATTTATCTGAGAAATAATCCTTATATTAATAAAAATAAAAAATCTCTAGACTTTGATCATTCTTCTTTAAATTAACTTAATGTTCGAATTCTAAAATTTTTAGATTAGATTTGCCTTTAATAATAACTTTCCAATTCATTATCAAAATATGGCATTTGATCTGAGTCAATAATAATCTGCCAAGTTGAAGATCTCAAATGTTGAGCACAATAAATGCGACTTAAAATTTATACTCGATTTTATGAAACTGATGACTAGCTGCTTTTCCATTTCAACTTATGTTAATTCTTAAGCTTAAGCCCCCTACTTCCTAAGCTTACCCAAAAGCTAAAGGCATAAATCACATTTGTTGCACCATAATTAAGCAAATTAACGAAACCAACAACAACACTAATAGCAACAGTAGCTGTCGACCTCCAACTAATTGGCCCAAATGCCGAAAAAATGTAATGAAATGCTAAATATTTGACCCCAAAATTATGACTTTCTAACGTGCTTTATGTGGCTGTTGCTGATGTTGTTGTTGTCGTTTTCGTTCATTAACGGGTGCGCGCCTTGAACTATGCTACATTTTTGTAATGTTTTGTCTGCCACAAATCCAGAACAATAATAAAAAGGAAAAAAAAAACCAGAAACATGAATAAAAATTAGAGCCGGCGCTCATTTCATTTGCATTTTTACGAGCACCCCAAAAAGGGGAATGGGAATTATAAAAGTGAAATGTTCTATGTGCATGAAACAGCCACAACAAATACAACAACAACAACAACAACATGACAACAAGCGCGTTAACACGCAGCAGCTGTTGCTGTTCTGGCGGCCAGACATAAAACAAAATATAAAATATAAATTAAAATACAAATATTTTTATTGCAATTTTTTATGAACCTTTTTTTTGTGTCTGTTTCTGTTGTTTTTGCTGTCTGTAAAAATAGACTGAATGTATGTGTGTGTGTGTGTGTGAAAGTGTGAGCGTGTACACAGATTCTCACCTTGCTGCCGGCTGTCAACTGTCGACTGGCTGGCCTTTTATTTTAAAAACATTTAGCAATCATTGATAAAAATCGAATAATTTTTATGAATGAACAAGCGAGCGCGCCATTCGTGTTTGTTGTTTATACAAATGCATGTATATGTGTGTGTGTGTGTGTAGTGTGATACCTGTGTAGGCCTGGTTGTATGTGGGCTTTGGTTTTGGCTCTCTGTCTATCTGTCTGCCTGCCTGTTTTGTGACTGCGCACAGCTGCAGTTGATTGAGCATATGACGTATACGCAACGTTGCCTGCCTAGCTGTCCGTCTATCTGTCTGTCTGTCCGTCCGTCCGTCTGTATGCATGGGTGTGTGATCTTGCCGACTCTCGACTGGCATAAAAACAGTTTTAATTTATATTATTTTTGTATGATGTTTTGCTGTTGCTATGTACGAGTATGCTATTGCTGCTATTGCTGTTGTTGTTGTTGTGCATGGCATGAAAAATGAAATCAACTGATTGACTACACACACTCGTACAATTTTTATGAAGGTCAATGGTCGTTGCCTGCTACAGATACTCAAATATATATATATACATATGTATGTACACGTATATGTTTGTATACATACAAGTAAGCCTGATGCAATGCCTGTGTATGCACAAATGCCGAGCAATATAGTTTTCTGTTTACTGATGCCGTTTTAATTGAAAAATGAAATTGAAATTGCTGTGGCACTTGTGGCAAATGGGCAATAAAATATTAAATGCTGCTAATTGCATAGAAAAGTGGCATGCGTGGCAAGATGCACGTTTAACTGAAATTGCCATAAATTGCCAATATTTATAGATATAAATACTGTTGGCAAAATGTTGATAAAGCAACAAATGATTGCACAGTTTTAAGTTGAAGTTAACATAACGCTTCACTTGCTGTCTCTAAAAATAAAGTCAATTGTGGTGTTGAAGAAAGGCTGATTAGCTGCTTGCTTAGCACAACAAATATCAAATATCAAATAAGGACAGCTGCTTAGTAGATTATTATTGTTTTTGTTGTTGTAAATTGTAAATGTTCATCTTAATTCTAAGTTTTTTTGAGCAGATCTAGTTTTTTTTAAAGACATTTTAAACAAAATTTGAAAATATTTACATTTAAAAATATCTGTGCATAGATAAAAGGTACAAAATGTGGTTTAATTATCGGTATCCAAACAGTTGGAGTTATCTATAGCTCAGCTGTATTTCATTTGGTTTGTCTTAAAGTAGAGAATTGAATGTCCTCAACTCAAATTAAATGAGACAACACAGATGTGTTCGGTTCTGAAATACAATACTTCCTTATTTTTAACGTATCTTGTTATGCAGGGGAGAGGACAATACCATTTTGTTTATAGAATTTCTTCAAAATTTATACATTTTGCTTTTAGAATTCTATAATATTTAGTTGAGATGACACAGACATGTTAGCTTCTATTATAAAAGTGCTTTCTTTTATTTAGGTTAAAAGCATACCATTCTTACAGAATTGGTTGAAAGTTTCGTTATTCAATTAAAAAAATGCTACTATTACTCACCATAGGTTGTTGCGGTTGATCCTTCATGGTTTGTATTTGTGCGGTTAGTTGATGCTGTTGCTGTTGCAAATGTTGCTGTGACTGATGCTGCTGCTGCTGTTGTTGCTGCTGCTGTTGCTGGGTGAGATGTTGATTTTGTTGCTGTTGCTGCAAGTGTTGTTGCTGCAAATGCTGCTGTTGGTGCTGGTGATGATGTTGCTGCGACTGCTGTTGCTGCTGATGCTGATATTGTTGCTGCTGCTGTGTTAACAGCTGCTGCTGCTGCTGCTGTTGCTGCAAGTGCTGCTGATGCTGGTGCTGCTGGTATTGCTGTTGTAAGCCACCAGCGGCTGCTGTTGTTGTTGTATTTGGTGATTGCTGTGGCAACAATGCTGCCGGCGCAGGACTTATGGCTGTGTTGTTCGGCTGACGTGGCGATGTTGCTGCTGCGGCGGCTGTTGCACTGGCGCCTGCATTCAGTTTATTTGCTTTGGTGGTAGTTTTGCGAGCGCGTGACTGCTGCAATGCATAGAAGAGAAGGGGAAAGAGGAGGCGTTAATAATAACAAATTAGTTAATTGTATTGACAAAAATAAAGGTTGTAATTAAGGCGGATAGCAACAACTACAGAAACAACTGTTTGTGCTATTATTATTTATTGTCCTCGTTGTTGTTGTCAGCTCTAAATTATATGCAATTAAGTTATGGCAATTTGTTGTAGTTATAGTTGCCAGAGCTATTGCGCTTGCTCTCGATGTTGTTGTTGTTATTGTTATTGTTGTCATTATTATTGTGGGTGTCTCTGACTTGCACATTGTTGCTGACCTTCAATGCGCTGCGGTTTACTTAATAATACACACAGTCAACATTTGCAGTTCGCTTTGCTTTATTTATGCACTCAGAGAAATTTGCATTGCATTTAAAGTTGTCAATGAATGTAAAATAGTACTTATTTCTACAAAAATAATGTTAATAATAATGTCGCTAGATCTTATAAGAACAGCTGCAAATTTGTTAAAACAATAAGAATGTTAGCTTTAAAGTTCCCCTATAATTTATAGTTAAAATGAATTTTCAACATTTAAGGAAACCCAAAGCTTTTTCAAAGTGCCTGAAAAGCATTGAAAATGGTTTGGAGTTTTTTTCATAATAAGGAAATACTTGAAACTAATTGAAATATTTTCGTTGACTGGTCTCCAATATAATTTAAGATATTTTTGCGTTATTCCAAGGTATTTCTTTAAGTGCCGCCATAAAAGAATTGAAAAATGCAAAAGCCAAACACAACAAAAAGTGTTCTCGCCTCTAATACAATTTGCAGCTGCTCCAATTCTAGCAATTATGTGCAGTTAGATAAATTTTTTAATTAAAGACATATTTGCTAAGCTGAAATATTTTAATTGCCTTGGCTGCATAATTTATGTTTATGCCTCGCACATAATTCCCTCGCATTTTCAGTTGCCAACTGAATGTAAAATTTATGTTGCACACGATTTATGTGCAATTTATTTCAACAACAGCGAATAGGAAAACAACAGCAACAGCTGTGGCAGCAAATTGTTGTTGATGTCGGTGTTGTTGCTGCTACTGCACCGAAATATGTTGAGCGCGCCATTAAAGGCTTTTAAAATTTATGTTTATAAAAGACTTTTGTCGTTTCCATTGCCGGCATTTTTGCTTTTGGTTGTGAGCTGAGCAGCCAAACAATCTCGCAAATATTTTCTTTTTCGCTTTTTTTTTTTTTTTTTGTTAGGTTGCCTTGCACATTTCTCATATTCGTTTGCACCGAATTACATGTACCCATATACACTTACGTACATAGTATATACACAGATACATATATAAACATACACATATAAACGTTTTGCAGTGGTAAAAGTTTAAAAATAGTTTTTTCTGTCTTTGCTTCTCGCTGCACTTGGCAGGCAATCGATAATGTCACGTTGTTTTTCTCTTAATATGCATATCTATATATACTGTGTATATAGTATATATATGCATATACAGATGTATGTACTATATGGTACATAGCATATGTATGAAAGCACTCAACTTAATATTTATTTACGATGAACCGAATGCTGTTCAAAATGTAGAAAAAGTTGTTCCATATAAACTAATGGCACAGAATAAAAGTTTGTGAAGGCTAGGTATTAGATGTTTTAAAAGGAAGCGTGGAAAATGGAAATGAGAAAACCCGTATCATCTAAGATAGCAGCAGCAAGTTTTTCCATCTATTTAATGCATTTGAAGTAAGTAGTGAGTAAGAGTAGTGTATTATTCCTTCAATTCAGCGATGGCTCACTAACTTTATGCATTCATAATGATTCACTAGAGCCAATACAAATGAAATATTGTCCATACACAAAGTTTAAAAAATACATTTTAAAATGTAGTTCAATTCTTCAAACCTATATACTTATTGAGTGTGTAAGCAGTCCACCTATTAGTATTTGAATCTAACTAAATAGAACACATTTATTTAATCAATAATTTCTAAGAAATCTTAAAACACCTCCAAAGATATAGTCAGGTGGAAAAAATATAAGTGATTAAGTTACAGGAAGTGAGGAGAATAGCTTTGGTTAGCCATTAACTGTTTAATCATCAGCATCAAAAATCAAAAGCTGCTCACATTTGTAGAAACGAATTGCTGGGCAATAATAATTCGCATTACATTTTACGAGTAACTCTCGAGTTTTATTTCAAGCTCTGCAGATGTTTTATATTCAATTAATATTTGTGGAATTACGTGCCATTTCTAGCACTTGTGAAATATGAATAGTGTAATAAACATATGTACTTGTATGTATGTAGTTATTTGCACACGAGTATATGGCCAATTAAAGAGGCTTACAAATTGTTGCCGACATTTTGGTAAAATAAATAGAAATAAAATTTGTTGCAAACCCTAAATCGTTTGTGCAAATTTGCTTCAACAATATGATTTATTGTTGCAAGCCAACACAATTTTTGCATATTTTACAAACATAAATACTTATACAGTTACACATACATAGTATGTATGTATGTATGTATGTATATATGCATATGCACGTGTGTTTTCTTCGGCTTTTGTCAACAAAACTAACAACAACAGGAGCCGCATAATGCTATGCAAATAAAATCAACAAACAATGCGAATGTGGCTGGCATGTGGACGACTGGAGGGGGGAGGTTGGATAAATTTTGGAGGCGTTGGCCAATTCTTGTTTTGCAGCTCCTCGCTCCGAGATTGGAATTCGAATGGATGTTCGTGTGCTCAGGTGGCGCAAAAGCTACAAAATGTTTTAAGCAAACACACACAACTGGCTGTCAACTGTAGGCGGAAGGAGTGGGCAAGGGAGGAGTGCGGGTGAAGTGGGAGGTGAGGAGAGATGAGACTTTCGTTGCTTTCTCCGTCGGCCAGGCCGAGGGGCAGAAAAATTAAAATAAATTTGCACACAATTTGAAATTGGAAATTGCCAATTATTTTTGCAGCACTCTTTGATTAGATGTACATAGTATACTCATATACATATGTTTTTATTTACATAATGGTACATATACACATATACATATATATGCATTATGTTTAACATTGTATGTGCTCGTGTTATTCAATGTCCTTTTTTTGGTTATTGCTATGCATCATCGTTTTTGACTCTCAGCTTAAACTTTTCCTGCTCTTATATTTGTTAAAAAACATATATTTCTGTGAGCATAATTTTTTGATCAAAATAATTGGTATTCTTTGTTTAAACTTTTGTTTTTAAAAATGTACTTTGTTTTTTTTTTTGAAATGAATCATTATTTATTTTTTATCTTTTATTTTTGTAAATGAAACTTTTTTATTCTATATTCAAATAATTTGTTTTTTATATTAATTTTTTTACTTTCTGTACATTTTAAACGAAAATGTATCTGTTTTTTCATTCTTCATGTCATTTTTAATATTTTTTTCCCAATTTATTTCCCATCTGATCACTCTGTCTTTTGGTTGTTTTACTATCTTTCTTTTAAGACAAAAGAGTATACGGTTTTAAGTTTTATAAATCCTTAGTTAGAGCTATTATTTGCTTATACTTATTTAACAGCATTACAGCTCATATTTCTGCAGTGCTTGTCACAGGTCGAAGCAAAAAATGTTAGCTTAAGTCCACTCAATAAAGTTCCTATGAAGTAAACCACAACAACAATTTTTAAATCAAATATGCCAAGGCAAATAAAACATGCATAAGGCCATCGTAAATAAATAAAAAAGCAAAAATTCTTACTGCTTATGCATTTAGATAATATTACAAGTCTAGTGTAGTGCTGTTATTGCATTTGTTGTTGTGTGCAGTTTTTCATTATTTACCAAGTTCATAAAAGTTAATTAAATGTTTATGAGCGCTGTTTGCGTCGCTCGCGGCCACTTCACTTTGCATTAAATAGCTGTTGTTGTTGTTTTATTTTTTACAATTTTATTTATTTCTGTGTAAAATAAATAAAAAAATAGAGAATATAAAGCAAACACAGCTTAGTGGCTGGTGGTGGTGTTATCAGGGGACAACTACAAGTATGTATGAGTGTGAGTGTGCGGCAAAGAATGCCGCAGGACAGAGTTGACGGCGACAACAACAAGAAAAATAATAATAACAAACTACAACAACAATTATAGCGTTATACGTGCAACGAACTAAGCGATTTGGCCTTCGGCACTTTGTTAGCAGGAACAGTAAGAGGTCGAGCGGGCGAGTGGTAGGTTCAGCGAGGAAGAGAGAGGGAGAGAGAGTGGGAGAGAGGGCCGGTGCTGTTGGTTTCCTTCGATGGTAACGTGTTGAAAAGAAAATTGCGCGCTGAATAAACAGCAATTAGTTGCATATATGCTTGTATGTTTGTATGTTTGTATGTATGTGTGCAGTCGTGTGTGCATGTTTGTTGGTGTGCGTATTTACATTTGCCGCTGATAACATCAACGCGTTAACGAAGAGCAGCACAAAAAGAAAATCAAATAAAGGTAAAACACTTTGGTTCAGCTCGAGCGAACATCTGATGCGCTACACTGCATTCGACTGAGCAGACTAATCGCTAAGACAAACTGCACACACCTATGGGTCGAAGATATATGTGTGAGTGTATGTCTGTGTGTGTGAATTGTGTCATAGAAACTAGCAAACAAGCATATGGCCCCACAAAATGCAACTGCAAACAATAGATCTAGAGATATAGTAT